TTCCTCAGACATTATTGATATAGTTAGACGAGGATTAACGGTAGCCAATAGCTTTGGTTTGTATTGTCTTGGGTGGTTGCATCGTGGGTCTGCGGTCGGGGTCTTGTTTGACAAATCTTTGGAACTAATCTCACTGGATTTTGGGAGTTGACTTCACTTTGAAAAAGTTTACTTTGCTACGCTTGTCTGATTAAGCTGCTTGCGCAGACTAGTTTACATCCACAGTAAGTTCACCAGTGTCGTCGGTGGTGTTTCTCAAATCACCCAATCATACCGACAGAAACGAGCGATCGGATTTTGGTCAATAATGTTTTGTGTTTACCTGTGAACCGCAGTGTGTCGCTCTTTGGACCCGAGCGAAGACGAAGAAAGTAGTAGTAACTTCTATACTTGCTTGCAGATGCCTCATAGTCAGCACCATTACCCGCAGCAACTACAACATTGGAGTCCCCAACGTCAGCAAGCAGAGCACTATTATAGTAATGGAAATATGATCACCGCTCTTTCGCCATACTATTATCCTCCTCTACCATGGCAGGCACACCATCAATACAAGCAATCAATGGAAATGCAGTACCCTCGACCTCTATTCATGCCCCCCAACCACCAAAACTACTACTACGTTGGAGATTATCATCATATGGAGCCTCGTATCGACTCTCCAATAAGTGATGTGCCTTCTTCATATGGTAGTGGCGACGAAGCGGTCGGATCGTACACGACGTTAGGTGATGACCACCACCCGGCAATACATGATTATAGTAGCGATAGTCAGGTGTATCCGTCTCCAGCACAGTCTATATCTTATGATCCGATAGAGGAGTGGACGCTTAGTCCGATATCGAATCCGAGCGCTTTGGTGGATGAGAAGTCAGTAGAAGAAGAAGATATAGAAGAGAAAGAAGAAACTGGAGATGAGGAGTACGAAGCAGTAGTCGTTAAAAGGTCTGTTAAAGTACCTCAACGTAAGAGGAGACGTTCGGATGGTACTACTGGGAGCTCGAATTGCCCGCATTGTGGAAAGTCATTTAGCAAGTGAGTAACCGTTTTAGCCTTCTTTGTGTTTTTCTTGTGTCCTCGTGAAACAATCATTGACAAAGAGGTTCCGCTTATGATTGCCCGCTAATGATCGTCACCATCCTTCAACTTCAGATCCTGGAATCTTCGAAGCCATCTCCTTGTACACAATACAACACTCGATTTTGTTTGTGATCAATGCAATCATGGATTTAAACGACAAACGGATTTGAAACTACATGAACGTATTCATACCGGTATGTATTTCTTGGCAATTGCCTTCTTTTTTTTTCACTGATACATAAGTCCTTTTAGGCGAGAAAAAGTTTGCTTGTGAGACATGTCACAGGGCGTTTTCGAGAGCCGACAATGCTTCCAGGTACTGTCAAGTGATTGCTGTGTCGTCTGAAACTCCTTTTGGGTCTTTCCGTTGCCGACGAGTTCACTAATAATTATGCAATATCTGTTTTCGCAACATAGACACCGATGTCTCTGATGAACAACATCGCTTTATGGGCAAGATATTTGGAAATAGTGCGTTGCGGGGACAGTAGGTTACATAAATTCGAAGCATATAATTCTCTGGGATCCTCTTGGCAGTTTGCCGAGTTGGTTTGAAAAGCAGTAGTCAAAGTACGTAGTCTTATCTGAATACATCATCTCTTATCATTAAAATTGTTCCTGTTCCTTGATGGTGTGTGGTGTGGCGAATACGATTCTTCTCCTGATCAAAACAAACAAAAAACAGCAAATACGCGGCAGCGAGCTTGCTTCGTTAAGACATCAAGAATTGCATTAGAAATTATATACGCCGTGATAATTGTATAGCAATCCATGCAGTTCGACTACAAGGCGTGCCTTCAGATACAAAGCTCGCGGCCATGGTCTAAAAGTTAGTTTGTTGATGTCCTGGGAGCCGGCAACAGAGGCATTGAGAAGCCGGATAGCATTGACCTGTACAGATTGAGCCAAGCATCCAAAGTAATTCCAGAATTGAGCTGGAGGGAGAGGATGGCAGAAATGGTCGAGAGCATTGTTTCCACAAGAAGAGGAGACGTGGACCAAGTGGAATTTCCTGCGAGTATGAAAGAATGAGACCGTGCCCATCACAAACAATCGGATTCTTTACATCGTGCGGAATGAGAATATACCTTCAAAGATTACAACAACGAAAATACCGACTAGTCTACCTTAGCTTGGACCCAATTGCAATCTTGGTAAACGTTAGAGTCCCATTATCAATCGGAGAATCCGCCTCGAGATTGATAATATAGCTGCTCGGTGTGATAGAATAGCTGCAGAATGACGGGTGCTGCCCATTAAGGCTGATGAAGTTGGGGACAGTTACCCTACCCAACATCGACCAAGTGCAATAAATTTTGACCTAGAATCCATATTACATCCTCACCAGTCCCCAATGGTTTCCGTAATGGACTTTCATCATGATTCCTCAAGGCAACGACAACACGAGAACGCGTTTGCCCAAATCTTCCTTGAACCATACTGGTCATAACACGACTACTGAATGACGATATGTGAGTGTCGTTTACTCTCCCGCCAACGACTAGATTTGCTTCAACATGTATGAAGACTCTATATGGCGCACATCCGAGAGTTGATTGCAGCCACAACTACCGGCATCACGGTGGCTGGACTTGTGTTCGAAAGTCAACATCGAGTGCAAATCAAGGAAGTACATATGCAGACTATCAGGTGCTTGATCATCATCATCGCATTGCGAAGTGCAGGGACTGTTGTGTAAAGTCGTGACCTTCCTCCACTGCCACAAACACGACAAACTGCGAGACAAACCATTCAACAACGAGCGGCATCAGTAAGCAAGATACCTGCTGCACCTACAGATTTTAAATGCAGCTACAACAACCAGCATCACAGTGGCTGGACTTGTGTTCTAAAGTAAACATCGAGTGCAAATCAAGGAAGTAGATATGCAGACTAACAGAAATGAAAGCGTATTGATTAGTTCTATCTAGCTTGTTGCCAAAGTAAGTAAGACTTGTAGCGCCCATGCACAGAAACCAACATACCAGATTCCAAAGGAGTCGGGAATCCATTCGTTCTCAAATCCGTATTGAATCCTCGCGGTATCACGATAACCACACCCAAAATTAGTCCTGATGGTTTTCGAGATCAAGCTTCTTTCTCCTGATTGTTTCCGGCTAGATGTATTCAAAATGTCTTGAATACCTGATTTCAGATCATTTTAAACACCATAGAAGGAGGGCTGTCTTGAATTCCGTTGTTTTTTTTCGTCATAGAAGCTTGTTGATTGTGTGAGAAGGGTGATGCTGGTTGCGATTTAGTCTTCCTTTGGAGCAGTATACAGTGGATGAAACAAACAAAGAAAGCCGCTACTTTCTCTTGTTTCGAGGACCAAACATCATATGCTGGTGGAAGTTTTCAAATTAGGAACGTGTTTGCGGGCTAAAGTTATTGAAAAATAGACGATGATAAAGAGCAACGCACCGAGACTCAGTCTGTTACGTCGCCTCCCTGTCAGGTCAAAGGCAAAGAATGTACCGCCAACGCAAAATGATCAACATGTAGTACGTTCCGCGGAAAAAACCAAGAGGGACATTGTCTAGCATACACTGATGCACCATTCTTATTTTATTCAGGATGCTATGGTTACAAGCTTCTTTGTCGCAGGTGGCACCCCACAAATGGTGAATTCCCTGCTGCATGCCAATATTCACTATAGAGAATGTCGCTGCAGCGAGTCTTACACAGGCTTACAGGAGACATATCACAAGTCTGTGGAGCACGCTTGGAATGGCACGGTGATCTTGAAAAGTATTGCTCTTGCTCAAGCAATAACTGTTTGATGGGAATCAATTTCCACCGTGTTGAGACTCTTCCAGTATATACTACGGTAGTCCGAATTGCCTATATGGCTGAACAGGACGAGTCGGGAACTTGGCTCACGAGAGCAAAATACCACTTTGCTCAGATAAAATTATATCATTGACCCAGAATGTTTCCGCTAGTCGCTTGGATGTTGCTAAGTTGAGGAAATGGCTTAACGCTTCGCCGCTGGTTTACAACTGTTCGTTCAGTAAGTGACTCTTCTTGATTCAAAAACTAGTACTCTGACATCCAGATGAGAGTAAAGAGTGGAATGCTACTTGGAAATCATTGTCATTGCTTTCGTACCTCTGTCAATCAACAGTTAAGAAAGAAAGTCTGTTTGCATTTGAAGAACTTGCTGGGCTTGTGTTACTGCCTGTTGTTGTAGTAGCTGCTGTTGCTGCTGTTGTTGACCTGAAGCAGCGAGAGCATTTGCAGCATTGACTGAAGCTGGTCGAAGCATTGAAACAGCAAGACAGTCTTGATCACCACCATTCGAGGGCTGTGACGATATGCTTTCAACTGGAAACATCACTGTTCCTCAAGTTCTTTGAAGTTGCGATACTGTATGAAAGATATATGAGATCCACAAAAATCGGTGATGACGAGGACTTAAGCACAAAGTACAATGAAAACCTTGTCCTGTTCTTGACGTTGCTGGTTCTTCCAAGCACTCTAAGCGTACAAGGAACTATCTGACTGTCGCTAAAAGAGACGCAGAATTCAAAAAGATACTAAATCAGGTGGATGAGAGAAAGTTGATGCAAAAGATATCAGTATATGGTGGTGGCGTACGAGTCTCAAGCGCCAATAGTCTATGTTTGAAGCCCCAGTCTCTAGTTCTTGTCGTTTTTGTTTTGTTGCAGAGAACAAATGTCTGCTTGTCATTTCGACGACCAAATCCTGTGTTTAGATAATAAACAGTTTTTGAATACCAACCGCATTGTAATAGCCTTCAGGAAATCCTGTATGACTTAGGTCGAATTCCACGCGTCTCTGCCAGCCCAATTCTTTCGACGCTTTCGTTGGAACACTTTTAGAGCAATTCAACTTCCGTAGGACCTTTCGACAAAAATATCAGACAGTTGATGAAACTACAGTGAAACAACGTATCATTATCGACCAAGACACGTACAACAGTATCGTGGGTCGATCCGAACTCTGATTCCACTGGATTTGGAGTCCTTCCCTACTTCACCTTCACGACATCCTTCCCATGCAATCTTGACTCCGGCTACAGCAAAGGACTTTTCTATGAACTCTCGTACAGTGTGTGTTTCTCCTGAAGCTAAGACGACATCATTGAGGTGATCCTTCGGGGTCATCTTGCTGTAGCATTAGCCACATACCCTTGGATGACGGCCAGTTAGCATCAAGAATAATAAACAGTTGGCGAAGTTCTCTTGTTCTACGTCGTAGTGCGAGCATGTCCTCACCCCTTTGGCGTCGAGATTCCCCAGGTACAACATTCTTGATAGCCCAAATGAACGTTCGCGACAGCACCGTGATCTTCCTTGTTACAAAAGTACTGTCTACACACGACAACTCGAGAGCAGTCAGCAAACAAAAAGGCATGTAGACTTGGAGGGGAGTTACGGAATCAACGTGATGTGACAGTCTCCATATAATGGAGTTACGCCCATAAAACTACCGATTGCTTCCCCTGAAATAATCTGGAGATTATCCCACTCCACAAAAACAGCGTAATTATAGGCCGTGTCTGCTGTAGATCTGTTTCTCTAAACCTCAGTGTTAAATGTGCCATTGTCTGCTAGTTCACCCACTGGCCTAGAGAATCCTGACAGTAGTTGAGACCTCCAAATGAGATTCAAGTTTAGAAAGAGTTTCTCGTTTTCTACGGCGACTTGTTCAAGAACAGATATAATTGCATCAGCCCCGTGTTCTCTCGGAATAGGTGGGCCTGCCGATCAAAACAATGACATCTTGCTTTCCACTTGCAACATAGTCGACCGTTCACGACCACGGTTCTAGCAGCCAAAGTCTCTGCCTACTAGTATCCCCAAGGCGAAAATCAAATTGTGCCGACAGCCTTGAATCCCGCGATCAAAATTGCAATGCCGTTGATTACCAGGGAGAAGTTTTTTCCGTAATAGATGGTTCTGTTAACAAGAGTGTTACAAGAGAGTTCTGCATTCCAGGGAATCTTGCTACACGATGACGGATGATATTCATAGATATCTAGAAACTTATGCAAACCCCAAGTGCTTCTATGACCACCAGAGTGCGCCATCGAGCAATTCTGGGAGCCCCGATAAGTTCCATAGTTAACCTTAGTAAACCTTGCACAGTATCCGTCTGTCGGGGTTGTGATCTTTCGAGTTGTCCCACGAGCAACATGGGAAAAGCAAGGGGTTTAGAACCTTGCCCCATGATTAAGGAACTTAAACGTGTCCTTGAAAGACCAACGCGGTTCCTTTTGACCCAGGGGTGGTGGTAATTGCCGGAGTTCTGAATCACAATACAACCGACTCCAAGTCAATTCTGAAGTTAATGCTGGGTGCTAACTCAAAGGCATACTAAAAAATGAATGTCTATATGAATCATGAATTTGGGTGGCGCGTAAATTGAAAATTTTCTTGCAGAGATTCACCTCTGATAGTAAACCCCACAACAAAACTCCAACGACTGCACCCAACAGCAACCCCACTCGGATTCTGATCGAATCGTAATCCAACATCGTTCTATGCAGCTGCCAAATTGGTCCTTACTCTCGGAAGTCAAATGTGGTATTCATGCACAAACTTGGTTTGCGTTCTAAATCAAGAAGACGAGTTCTTAGGCACGTCCAACAACAATGCCTACCGCACTGGCACAGGTAGCAAGGTGTTAAGTAGTAATAGATCCCGACCCATGCCAAAAGGCCAGTGAAAAGATCGCGTTACTACAACAACACTACTATTCAAGGATATCACGATCTATTCAGGAAAATTATGACATCAATTGCCAGGGGGGGTTTGCAACTACTATCACACTTTAAATTGTTTGTGGGGGAGTCCATTACTTGATATCGTTTCAGAGAGTTTACTTCGATTCAGACCATCCATTTTGTGCTCATACAAATGCGCCGTCCATACACGTAAATCCTGAGAGCTTCGAAGAATCGAATTCCGCCGCACACCATCCGGCATATTGACCACTAAATACTGCACAGGAGGGAGAAGGGCATTCCCATCCGCTGTTGGTCCAGGTCCATCCTAATTTGTTGACTTCATTGATAGAATAGCACACACCAAAGTAGCTAACTTTGGGAGCTGGGCAAGAGTTGTCCACAAAGGCACCGTTCAAGCAAGTAAGTGGTGCCTGTTTTTCGTGAAGCGTTTGGTTTCAATTTCAATGCTTTACACAAAACAACATAAGACGCAAAGTCAATTCTGAAAGCCCACCATTTTTCCAGCGTCGCCATCTTTGGCGCACCAGCCAGAGTACTATGCCCGAGATCAGGTTAGTCTCACAGTAACTTTGAATCGATAGAGTTTCTTCTCTACTCACTTGTCCGGAAGGAACAGCACAAGCGGGTGCTGGGCAAGCCCATCCACCGGTAGTCCAAACCCAGCCGAGTTGATTGGAACTGCCCAATGCATAACACTTTCCAAAGTACTTGATTGCTGGAGCAGGGCAAGAGCTGGTGGTAACAAAAGTTCCATTCGAGCAAATGGAGCCAGCGAGCTTGCCCGTGTCTCCATTTCCAGTACACCATCCAGAGAACTATGAAGAAAAAGCTCTTTGGTTAGTGCGACATACACAATCCTGGAAAACGCTGTGTTTGACGTGCCTCTCCAGTGGGAACCGCACAAGATGGAGCAGGACAACTCCAACCCTCAACAGTCCAACTCCAACCCAGTTTGTTGACACTGCCAAGGGTATAACAGGTACCAAAGTAGTTGATGGACGGAGGAGAACATGCAGTGGCGTCCACAAAGACACTATGTGATGAAAATGTTGGTGAAAAAAAAACACCTTTCAAATATCACAGTTTCAGACTCTTACCCATTGTCACAGACAAATCCAGGGAGTTTGCTAGAATCGCCGTTGGGGCTGCACCATCCTCCATATTGTCCGGAAGGAACCGCACATGATGGAGCGGCACAAGACCAACTATTACGCAAAAGAAGAAGGTTGCAGCGATATTTCACATACTAGACCTTCTCGGAACCTTACCCGTTGCAAGTCCACATCCAGCCCAAGCGATTAATGTCACCAGGGTAGTATTCCACACCAAAATATCTTATGGGAGGACATGCTGTGGGAGTCGGGGAAGGAGCTGCACTGGAGCTTGGACTACGGTAATCAAAAGAAAGTTATTGAGTTATTGAGCAATTAGTTAAGGAAACAAGATAACAATCATAATGCAAACGCTTTAGCCTGCACTTACGCGGCAGTTTGAGGTACTGGGGCTCGTCTGACCATTTTAATTTCGGGCACCTCATCAATCAAAATAGGTACTGCGGCAATCTAATTGGAAAGCAAAGAGTTGGTTAAACGTTGGGTTGGTTGTGGAGTACATAGTATACTTACAGTGTTGGTAGCACATTCGACTCGTTCAAGAGGTAAAGCTGCACCAAGAACGTTCAACGAGTATTCGAAGGCATCGAGTTCGCCAAAGTTGGTTTGGTGACAACGACAATCAATAGTCCAAAAGTTGGTGGGATAAACCAAGTTCTTTGAGCACGATACCTAAATATGGATTTTTTGTGTCGAATTTCGCGCATCTACATAATGGAAGCAATCAAGATGAAATATAAAGCTTACCTCTGATGTCTTGCCAATAGACATACAGTAAGTCTGACACGTATCTTCAATGGAAGAACATGCTAGTAGACCACAGTATCCATCCTTGCAGAATGACGCATCATTGGCCGATTTCCAGCAAGTATCCCCATGGACGGTACCAAAGTAGCCAATAAGAATTGCCAAGATGGCATATATGCCCTTGCTTGATGCAATCTATCATTTGAGGGGTTTAGCAGTAGTGTTGGGTGGCACTCTTTCGTCGAAGATAAGAACTTTGGACAACAGTTTACGATAATTTACCATGTTACAAGTACGATGCGGGGTGGCTTTCGCGTATCAGTTCCTTTGTTGACCTTGAGCCTCACTGCGAAGTTGTAACTTTAGACTCAACGAAAAGCAGAAAACAGCCACCAAAAGCCTTCAAGGTGACACAGGCGTTGTCAACGAAAACCTGACAACGAGAATCCATCATAAGGGTCCGAAACAAGTTTCTCTGCAGGTTCTTGCAAGGGACTATCGATGTAGGTGTTTTCAACTCTTTTTTGTAGCAAGCCAATCGAGAAACACCAGGCCATGAGCATATTGTCTTGACAGACTAGTGAGAATAGATCTTATAGAACCCGTTTTTTGTCGCGCATTACTGTGTCTTTACATTCGTAAATCAGGTTTCCCCACACTATTTTGAGTCCCGTGATGATGGAACTATGGTACTTTCGACCAACATATTTGCAGCTTGTTCCTATGCGAAATCTCCAATAGCTAGGCCGGCTTCGGTACTTACAGTTCTAAATCATAGATCTGCATTCCAGGGCGTCATGCTACTGCCACTGAGGAATGTTGACAAATACCGGAACACGTGCGAATAGCGGTTACATCGTAGCTATAGTCACCAGAGCACACCATCTTCTTCCTGAGAGGCCCGATACCTTCCATAGTCGCCCTTGGTACAAACTTTACTTCCTAAACCATGTCGACGTACAGTGTGGTTGGAGCGCGTGACGTACTGAAATAAGAATGGTTCAAGTCAATCGTCCAGGACACCGCCATTTGAGGATCAAAAAGGAATTCAACTTTGGCAGTAGTGTTTAGCTGCTAGTTGATAGTTGGATGTGATTGTTTTAGGGTCACTTAGGCACAAAATTCTTGGCGTTGATGGTTATTCCAAGCAATCGAAGGTTATTACGAAGAACAGTGGCTGCAACAAATAAACAGATCATGAAAAGATCTAAATCAGGTGGATGATAGTATTTCGATGCAACAAATATCAGTATGATGGTGGGAGCGCACGAGTCCTAACCGCCAATAATCTATATGCTGAAGCCGAGCCTCTAGTTCCTGTCGTTTTTGTTTTGTTGTAGAGCACAAATGTCTGCCTCTATCATTTCGACGACCAAATCCTGTGTTTAGATGATGATTACTCATTGAATACCAGCGGCTTTTTTAGCCTTCAAGAAACCCGTCATGACTTACGTTGAAGTCAAGGCCTCTCTTCCAGCCCAATTCGTTCGGTGCTTTGGTTGGATCAGCCCAAAGCAATTCAACTTCGGGAGGACCCATTGACAAAAACATCAGACAGGTGCTGAAGCTACAGTTAAACAAAGTATCATTAACGACTAAATACATTAAGTAATATCGCGGGTCTATCCGAACTCTGATATCACCAGATTTGGAGTCCTTCCCGACGTACCTTTCACCACATCCTTCCCAAGAAATTTTGACTCCGGCTACAGCAAAGGACTTCTCCACAAACTCTCATACAGTGTGTGACTCTCCTGTGACTAAGACGAAGTCATCTGGGTGATCTTGCTGTAGCAGTAGCCACATACCCTTGAATTACGGCATCAAGAATAATAACAAGGGCGAGGTACACTCGTTCTACCTCAATGTAGTCGCAAGCATGTCTTGCCTTCAGTCTCTTTTAGCGTCAATACTTCCCAGATACAAACATTCTTGATAGCCCAAATGAATGTTGGCGACAGCACGGGTGATCTTCCTCGATACAAAAGTCTGACCTACATACGTCGATTAAAGAGCAGTCAGAGATCTCAATCGTGTCCGTGACCAAGCTAGGAAGCATCGCACCTCTCCTTGGTGATTCGTGGGTGAAGAGAATGCCATTGCTGTATGCTTCACGGTAGTTCTTGACAATGAACAAGGCATATAACTTGGCAACTCCGGGAAGCAAACCTTTCAGTGACAGAGTTCTACTAATATAATGAGTCAAGACACAGAAACCTTACCGTAAGGGCACGGTGTTGTTTCACGCTGTGGAGCCTCTACCACCTTTCCATATAGTTCCGATGTGGACACTTGATAAAGTTTCACACGATGAGTCAATCCGCATGCTTGTATGGCATCCAATAACCTCAAAGTGCCTAGACCGTCAACATCTCCTACACAAAGCAAGAAATTCAACGCTGTTCGAGTCAGCTTGACGTCGCAAGGTTTTCATATTAGGTGCCTACCAGTGTACTCGGCCATTTCGAATGAGACGTTGCGATTGCGCACGAAGGTTATAAACCTCCGTAGGCTGCACTTTGGCTAGAATGCAGACCAAATTTGTGGAGTCTGTCAAGTATCCGTAGTGCAGAGTCTTCAACCTGCCGGTGTTGAAGGACGATGATCGTCGGATGATTCCGTGTACACATTCCGTGTAGCCTAACCAAAGAGATACAGCCGCCCAATGGATTTGAATGAATACAACAAACCAGATTCACAGTCCAGTATTAACCTTTGGCCGTTTGGCCATCAAGAATTCAGTGAGATAAGAACCATCTTGTCCACTGATACCTGTGTCGAGAAGAAAGTCATCCATAATGCTAACACAGACTCATCCAAGTGGCGAACGAAGTGGCATGAAATATTGACGTACCTGAGATCAACGCCACTCTCCGTGGCTTCCACTTCTCGTCAGATACTGAATCGACTAAGCCAACCCGACTATCGGCGACGGTGTTTCCGAAAATTGCCAAAGATCGAAATAAAAGGTCGAATATCGCTTTAGAATGGTTTGGATATGTACCTTCGCTAAAGCTTTCTTGTTCTTGGGCGAGGAAGCGAGGGAGACAAAAGGCAAGGGTATATCTTGAGTAGCAGACGGGCGGAAAGCTCATACCATCAGTGTTTAAGATTTTTACAGTCAGATTGATCAGATTAACGCAGGACTACTGATTTAAATTTTATTAAGATTATTGTTAATTTACTGCTACGAGTCTACAATCTGTAGCGACCCCCTCCAATTTTTCTGACGACTGCACAGAGGGCGGTTTGGTCATCCTCCGTATTCCTCCAGTCCACTACTAGAGTTTTGTTTTTGAAATCCTTATATTCTAGTCTGCCGGCGTTTGCAACGACAGCTGCCTTGTGACTGCCTAAAATGAGTGCTAGCGTCAGGAAACGCCCTTCTCCTCCTATTAGAATATCGGATTTTGCCATCATATTGAGGTCTTCAAGGTCGTTTGCACTGTCGAGGATCGTGTAAGTGAAATTTAAAGCAGCGAGGTATTTCGTCTCCGCTCGTTTCATGGCAATTCTAATATCCAGTTTGTGATAGGTACATCCTGTCACTGACTGCACGATTTCGTTGAATTGTGTGGCTGAAAACATACGATCTGGCTCTGCTCCTAATAAGGCTGTGGCTGCGTTTCGTGATGCCAAATCCCCCCATCTGATATGAATGGCGACTCTCAGAGCTGTGCTCTCAGGGACAACAGGTACCACCCATTTGACGGTACTGAGGCCTAGTCTGCCCTTGATCCATTCCCTTGTACATAAACTTCGATCGTGTCGAAATATGGTGTTTCTGGTAACTACTAAAACGTTACATCCTGCCGTCAGATTCTTGGCCCATGTCGAATGCTCCTCAAACGATGACTCGTTGTAGCAAAGTTGTTCAAGCCGTTTATCTATAGAATCCAAGTCCCAATACATATGGTTAAGGTAGCAAGTTTTGGACAGATCAATCTAATACGAGCGATATCAGCGACGTGTAAAGCCGAATTTAATGAATTCGCAACATTACATTCTTGGTGTAGAGTGGGTCGTTCAGAATATCCGAGATACTGTAGGAGTGAGCAGAATCTAGAGTTTGAATAACCAGCTCTCTATCCATCATACGGGCAAGAATAATATCATCCTTCATATGGGCAATGTTTGCACCCATCCCTTCGTCCGAAATACCTTGGAACAAGAAGACAGACAAAAGTGTCAGATGGTATTCTTTGCCGAAACGGACTCATTGTAACTCACCACCTAACCTCAGTAGAATAGGCCGCCTGGAGTCCGGTGGTGCTCGTTTGCTATCATCATTAGCTGTTGCTGTGTCGTCCAGTCGAGGTTTAGTTGGAGTTGGAGGTGGTTGGACTGCGCTAACTAGAAGGAGACTGATGAACACGATTCCCAAGATGGTAGGCAACTTGAATTTCTTGAACAGTTGATATAATTTTATTGATGCCACTATCATTAATGGATGACAATACTTGTAAGACTCTTTTTGCAAAATCCCGAAGGCATATGGGTTCACAACTCGTTCACGCAGAACGTTTAGCCACTTCACTGACGACAACTCAACTGTTTTTCATATCTATTCGTACTCACTTTTCAGAATGTACCCCCGTGTTGGTCCCTCCACCATTGTATAAAAATGCTGGACTGGCGGTTTGGGGATTGTGGGGGGCAATTGAGGAAAGCTTGTTCAAATACGTTTGTCTGACCAGACGGGAGGTATGATTGTCTAGCAAGACCGTCCCATTTGTTGTGGTGGCAAACAAATTTTTCATTGAGGCTCATGATTGACACTTTTTCGTGGTGGCGATTAACCATTAGTAGATAGAGAGCCTGATACTAAACTGATACGTATATATACATAGTATCAAGCTCTCTATCTTGCATTGTCCAAGTTTGGTTCTGTTCATTGAAAAATTAAGAGATGGTTTAACAATTTTGTACTTGTCTTGAAGCTCGTGTGCTAATTCTAGTTCTGTAGATATGTCGCTGGCAATATATCCTGTCAGTAAAGCGTTACGTATTGTAGTGCTCTCCCTCAATGCGGTTGCTTGATGATTTCATAAGCACGCTACCGAAACATTTCCACTGAGCAATCGCTTGAATACTCGACACTACGAACCATGCATCGCGTCCAGAGCTTGCGCCGGTGGTCGTCAGGACAATTTTCAATCAAGTGGATCAACTCCTCTCAAACCTGCAAAGTGTTAACATCTTAGCTGTCCCAGTGGGAAAAATGGAACGGTACATCTGATAATTTCACTCTGTGGTGCCCTCGTCGCTTCGCTGGATGAATGTTGAGCTTCAGTGTATAAAAACGCTGTTGACCTACGACCAACACAATAATGCGGCCCTGTGGTCTTCAAAACTTCATAAGGACTTTACTTTTACTTGGATTTAACCGGTCCATGAGTATGAGACGGAACAAATAAAACCAGAGTAGATTTGTTTCTCAGCTCATTGGCTTATCGCACGTGTTTGTCTCCTTGACAGTCACATCCGCTTTTTTCGGTTTTAGAACTCATGAAGAGATTGCTTGCTTATACACCTCAACGGCTCATAATCCACTCAATGCAAAATTGCCTTGTCACTGAACTTTCAAACCACATATTGCTTATTCCGAGCCTCTGTAATATTTCAAGTGTTATTCAAGAGTTATCAAAGTAGTGGTAGCCAAGAGAATATGTTAAGCATCCAATGAGGTCTTTCAACTATTTGTTGAGGGTTCCGATGCGCGAACATCAAAATTTACATGTAATCACTGTTTTAAGGTCTCCACAAAGTTACTAGGGAAAAGACCTGAGCAATCGTAGTTAGCATTGTCTAGATTACAAATAACAAGGTATTATAAACGAACCCCTACCTTTCCTCTTTCTTCCGCCTTCCTCCCCTATCCCTTCCCACCTGCGAATGTCATTAGAATCGTCGACAATCAAGAAAAATCATGTCTGCCAATCGAACTTACCAGCCGTCGTCCTGAGTAGTGATCACTGGAAGAACCTGACCTCTAGTCACAGACAACTCTTCAAATGCCTGAGACTGATAGTCATACAGGACTCGAACTATGCGACAGAGGAAGCATTTAGTTCGTATCTTTCAAATCAACACTTCTGTCACTCCATAGGATACCTTGGAAGAGAGTGGGAATGTTTTCCTTGATGTCCCATGGATCATACTCATAAAATACTGGCTCGCCCTCTTGAGGCTGCTGACCAGATGTAGCAAAGTTGTCATTGGAAGTTGAAGGATGGCCTGATTGTTCATATTGACGTTGATGAGCAGGGCTAACTGGACCCGCTATACCCATAGCATTCGATGCAGCTACGTTGAGAACGTTTAGTTTGTCTCTGGAAGCGGCCGAGTTCAGATCATCCTTTGAGGAAGATTTCACAACACCGGATGACGATGACATGTTGTCTTTGGACCCAAATCGAGAGGTAGGAGCAGCTGTAGCCGAGGCTCGAGGACTTTGAGCTGCATAGTTTCCAGCAGTTTGATTGACTAGAGGCAGAGCCGATGGTCTTTCGGAAGAGTTGGTGTAAAAGTTGATGTATGTAGGAGGCACTATCAACAAGGGATTAGTTGGAACGCATCAGGTTGAGCAAACAAGGGATATCTACATGGAATGGTGGAGCCAGTCGAATACTTTTCCAAGGCAGTGACAATGTCCTTGTCGATATCGCATCTTTCTAGTGATGTACGAATACGTTCACACGCCTAAAAGCAACCACCAGTCGATGAGTACTGTGTGTCGATTGACATACAAACCTGTTCAAAAACCACACTCGCCTCATCGTCTTGCACACATGCTTTTGAAAACAAGTTTGCATAGTTCCAGCACGAGTTTCGTAGAAATTCGATTCTGTCCACTTCGAGTTTTTGACATTCCTGTTGGAATTACCATCAGTGAAGTAAAGCTTGAGACAGATCAACGATACTGAACATACAACACAAGCAATCCTGAAATCATCCTGCCACTTTGAAAAGGCTTCACGAGTCTTTTCCACGGCGGCGATGTACTCTCCATCAGCTTGGTTCATGGCTGTCTGTGTCTTGTCAATCTTGGTACGTATCTGATGAGAGAAAGAAGGTTGGTTCAAATATCTAGTATGACAAAAACAAACACACTACGTACCTTGTCTAGTTGATCAGGTTTAGCATTGCTTTGTGAAGCCCTCAAGCTGTTGAGTTCTACACATCGAGCTTCATATCGTTCTTTGGCCTTCTGACACTGATTCGCCAATGCACTTTTATTTTTTAAGTGCTTTTCAATATTGGTTGTGTGATTTTTGCGAATGGTACTTTGTGCGGCTATCAAATCATTCAGCGGTCGCTCCAGTTGAACACGGATAGCGTTGGCTAGCTCCAAATGAGCTTTAGAGGTGCCGTCGAGTTCTTTTTGTAGCACATCCAGTGAATCTCTCAGAGTTCTAGTAGATTCACGAGGCTTTTAGAAATTGGAGCAAGATGAGTGCAACTCCATTGGCATACCCGATCTCTTCCTTTGCGGAATACGTCTTTGTCAATTTTGCCAGTCTTTTACCATAATCTTCTTCGATACTGGCCCGTTCCTTGAGCATGGAAGCCAATTCTTCACTAACATGTTTTCCACTTCTAAGGCGACTCATCAATTGGTCGAGGCCTTTGTCACTCTCTCCCTAAGAAAGGCAGATTGCTTGTTAAGATGAGGAGTACGGGATACATCATATTTGATTAGGTTTCAAGCAGCAAATTGAGTTGCGCCAGAACAACGTTAGTTACTGATGTCTGCAGAGGCACTTTTGGAGCAAGACATACCCAGAACGAGTGCTCGAAAGCCCCTCCCAGCCCCTTGCCAGACTGAGAAGGTATCATGGCCATCCTTCAAGCGCGACCTCGCTTCAGACAGAGTTTGCAATTTAAATACTTGGCTGTTTATATGCCGAGAATTTCAAGCGTCAGTCGCGTTCACACACGTTGGTCAAGAAGGGTGGGAGAGAGAGGAGACTTCAGTGGATATCTAGACGCGGTTTCTAGACGAGTGAATGGAATTGATACTTCAGTGTTGCTGTGCAAACGATGAAAATGTCCGGCAAGTCGCGTAGCGAGTCGTAAGTATGTAGGTAGGTAAATTACAGGGTGATCGGTGATCAGTATGACTGTTCAGATGATGTCTAGCATCGTTTCTTTCGTATCGGCGAGCATTGAAACAAGACAAACAACCAAGGTCTTCAGCCACTCAGGCAGATAGAGGGAGGCAAGGGCATAATGCGATGATGTTTAGATTGATGATACGTTGGTGGCCGGTTTTGTGCCTTTTCCTGCTGGCTACCGACTTTGTTTCAGCTGTAGAAACTCCAAACCAGCGTGAACAATCTCTCGTCGATGGCCAATACGACGAACTCATTGTAAAAGTAGGGTCAAAACCACTTCCAGATCGCATCCCAAAGGTAGTACATTTTATATTTGGGCTCCGTGCACCAGACCCACAGTTGCTACTGCCACATTACCTGGCCATTCGGAGTGCAAAAGTTGCAATAAAACCTGATGTGATTTACGTTTGGTATCATCATCTACCAACTGGTACGTCCCATTCTTGCACTCTGTGCATAGATTGAAATCTAACACACTCACCAAATAGGCTACTGGTGGGAACAGGTCCTTCCATTCATCACTCCTCGCTACACCGACTTGATTGGCTCAGTTTATGGCAACGTTGTTGATCACTATGCTCACCGTGCAGATGTTCTCAGATTGAAATTGCTCTATGAATATGGTGGAATCTATTTGGACTTGGATATGGTGGCGCTGCGCTCGTTTGATGACTTGCTCCACAACGACTTTGTGATGGCGAGAGAATTGAACGGTTGGTTGTGAGCTGCTTGTAGCTTCGAAATGGACTGTTTACCCTAAATCGATGTTTCTCTGTGTAGTTGGACTTTGCAATGCTGCAATCTTGTCGAAACCAGGGTCTGCATTTCTAAGGCGCTGGATGGAATCATACCGTACATTCAACCGTACCAACTGGAATGAGCAATCAGTGCAGTTTCCGATGCTTTTAGCTACCAATTATCCTACTGAGGTCACCGCTTTGCAACACACTGCATTTTTCTGGCCACATTGGAATAGTGATGGGATGCAACTCCTATATATGATGAAGTCTTATAATTTCACGCAGAACTATGCCGTCCATTTGTGGGAGAGTAACGCATGGTCTTGGTTCTTGGGCCCGTTGTCATTGGATACGATTAGAGAGGTCGACACAGGCTTCTTTTGTGCTATTAGACCCATGATTGCCCAGGGCGACTACGAGCTGGCCAGAGACAAGAATTGCACCCAGTTTCCAAGAAATCAATACAAAAGCGGCATAGGTAAGGTTTGCCGGTCAGTCGATGTTGCAAAATGTGCAGAATCTCACACAGTATCAAACACTAGTCGGCGCCTGGTTGATGGATTTAGATACCAAGCAGAAACTGGTAGACTCTCTGAAGAACCGACTGCATGGCTGGGCCTTGAATGGAACAACACTAGTAGACCGTACATTTGGGAGGAGACGGTATAGATCCTTCAACGGCGAAGGTGACTTCGCCATACTCCCGACACTCTCTACTCAGTCTCTACGAGAAGCATCTGTATCCCTGCATGCTCTTTTCGACCGTGTTTGCATGCCGGAAAGGGCGCTGGTCGCTCTTCACCAATTTGAACGACAAGTGATTGTTCAAACAACCTGTGAGAAAAATCAATCTCGTCTTGAAGCCATTGCCCAATGGAGCACATATATTGCTGTACGGCTGACATACACGTAAGCTCTAGAAACGAAATCATATACATCACACCCACTGACTAGTTTCTTTCGAAAATCAGTGGTCCGGCGCTAAACGACGGACGATGGCATCATATCGCTGTAGCGGTTGGTACAGCAAAGAAAGAGATGACCTTTTACGTCGACGGACGGTTGGTGCAATCTGGAATATGGGAGCCTATAAAACAGAATGAGCTGCCCCTCAACACAGGGATCAAAAATATTTGGTTGGCTCGCAAGCCACCATATAGTATAAGAACTGATAAAGAATGGCATCATTATGACTTCAAGGGTGGTATAGATGATGTCGTTGTCTACCAGAAAATGATATCGCAGGAGGAGGTCAATGGTCTAGCAGTTGAGCTTGGTAAATCCCACGTCTTCGAAAAAAGTGCTTAAGCCAGTGTTTGTTGACCGTTTACTGTTTAGATCCCGTTCTATTCCCGGCACTACACGAACAGGATTTTCGTGCTGAACCGATGGGCATTCTGACAGAATATAAAAATATGATAAACCCCTCAAAAATCTTTGCGGATCTAAGTGGATACGATTTTCATGGTCGCCCATTCGGAATGATTCCTGAAGACTCGTGGTCTCCCCACGCTCTGCTGACACCGCAGTATTCCATCAAATCGCCCGTATTGGAAGAGTTGACACCAAATACGTTCACGGTCAGTGCCGTAGTAAAGTTTATCAAGCTGCCAGTGTCTAGCAAGAAAGGAGACATGCATTGGATGAAATTCAAAGATTTCACGAATGAGATAGTATTTGGAAGAGATGGTAAATCCGGTCATCCCTTTGTTGCTGACTTGACTCGAAAGGTGTATGTAAGACCTTATAGACAGGCAGGATGCTCCATGTCGCTGGGCACTGATTACTTTCTCAGTGTATCGTTTGATATCATTAACTCGGTAGTAACAGTGTATTGCAATGGTGTCAAAATCCTTCATTCGCCATTGCCGTTTCAGTATCGCAAACTTAAAGCTCTGAGCTTGGAAAGCAATGGTAGACTAGAGATTCAGTATTTTCAGGTTCGCTATGGCTTAGTCGACACAGAATCGCTTCGTTCTATTGGTGGTGGGTTTTTGCAAACAATCCTCTCTTGACGATTCTCTCACAATTTGCTCGTCTCTGTAGCCCAAGTTATGCCCGCACCTCCGATTTTTCAGATTTATCAAAGTGATAAGTCACTTGCAAACTCTCGCACTGTGCCTCGGGCCAAAAACTTTTCGAGTATTTACCTTGGTATAATCGACTTCCGCAAACCTTTAATAATCAAGTCCACATATTCAGTCTTCCCTGTAAATTCCTCTACTGTACCCTTCCTCGAGACCCGTAGTTGGCCAAAGCACAGCATTGTCAGAGTGGAGATGCACCCGAAGAGTTCGAAAGAGTGGGGTGTCTTCTTGCATGAGGAGTGTTTGTCTGACGGAGTAGCTTCCCATGTATTAATATTTCCGGAGCTCTGGGCTGAGCTTCACTTCAACTCAACTTGTAAGACAGGCGTTCCCGTGGACATCCAAATTGAAGGAAAGACAAGTAACGCTCCGACCAACTCCCAAGGGCAGATTGGGAAACTGTTACCCATCGCTGCTGTAATGCTTTTATGTATAGTCAACCGCAGGACTGTGATGGGGTGTGCTGGACGTATCATCCCTTGTAAGGAAGCCTCGCCAATGTTTGAAGGAAAGAATATCAGTTTCACCTAATCGCTTTCTAGCCTCTTATGTAGATCATCTGAAACATCAAAAGCGCAGAAACAGTAGATACCATGATCACAAGAAGTTGGCATTCACTTGGCACAACACCATTTCGCTTTGGAACCGGACCATCTCTGAATGGGCACCCACAGTATTAGCTGGATTAGGTACCATAGGTCTCATATGGAGTCTGTCAATGTTTTCTTCATCCGACCAGCTGGACCAGCAGTTCGTTGCATTCCAGAAGACTGCCAAAGTACGATAAAAATCAAGTTGATGTGTTTTGAGTTCGTGTGCTAATGCTCACCTTTGTAATAGGAAAAATACCCAATGTTTAGTATCATCACCCCTTGCTACAACCAAGCACAATATTTTAGAGAATGTGCCGTGTCTGTGGCTAGCCTCACGTATCCGTACTATGAGTGGTTAATTATGGATGATGGTAGTCCAGATCAGTGCTCTGCTGTAGCCAAACAATTCCAGGAGGAACATCGAGAACGAGATATTCACGTCATTCGAAAGATCAATGGTGGTCTTGCTGATACTAGGAACACTGGAATTCGTCTGGCCAAGTTTGATTGGGTGTTGCTTCTAGACGCTGACGATAAACTCATGCCAACGTATTTAGAAAAGGCTGTTAAAATGATGCATATATTCCCTCACGCTACTGCCTTTACAGCCAATCAAAAGTTTTTCCAAGATTCTGAATGGGAATGGAATCTACCGGTCTTATCATCACGTCGCATATTGTATCAAGGACTACTGCCAGTGCAGTCTATATTCCGTAAAACAGATTGGGCAGCAGTCGGAGGGTTTGATCCCTCACTGCCGCATGGCAATGAAGATTGGTCGTTTTGGATCGCCATATCCGGTTTACCGCATTTCCACATTGTGAAGATCCCCGAGTATCTTTTATTATACCGATTTAAACGTAACTCTATGCAACGGACAAAGGAGAAGTTTACCGAGGTAGTCCCAATGATGACGATGCAGCATCCCAACCGATATTCAGTGCAAGAGATATTAGAAGCCCAGGAAATGGTCATATCTACCATTCATGACGAATCAATCCTAGAAGTTAAGAAAGCAGCCAAACTCTTTCCGACACGGCGGATGCCGTTTTTGTGGTTGGGTTTGGTTGCCGAACGTAACAAGGACTATGGCACGGCTATTGAATTATATAGGCAGGCCATTAAGCTGGATTATCAAGGGTTAGACTGGCAGCCATGGTTTAGGCTGGCTATAATGCGGACGACACATCCCCTGCTTACTGAAAGGGTTAGACGTGCGTGTCTGGAAGAAGCAGAAGCAATAAATCCTGATACTCGACATTGGTTGGAAATCAATAGAATTGACTAGAATTAGATATTCATCATAAGCTTTGTAAACAAAATAATTTACCATTTACACGCAATACGCATATGGCACGTATGTGCTTAAGTCAAAATTTATGTGGCTTTGCAGATTAAATGTTCAAAATTTCAGGTTGGTTGATGCCAGAATCCATAGAGCATGCGAAATAGAGCGCAACTCCTACTGCTACTGTTGATAGCACTATCATTCGTTTTATATATACGAATCAGGACCTCGTCGCCGGCACAAGTAGAACCAGAAAGGTAGAATCTTGTAACTGCAAGTTTTTAATTGTTTCAACCGACGATATATGGCAGCTGATTTATTTTCGCCCAATAGCGTCGCCTCTGTACCTATTAAATCTGGGAGAAGAAGATTTGACCGTTCAGAGCTTGATGCATTCTGGGATGGCCAGATTCCTACCTTTGATAAATTTGGATTTGACGAGCGGAGAGTGGATGCAGGCCTGCAGTCATTTGCCGATACCTACTTTAATGCATCCTACCCCGACTCAGATATATGGAGTCTCCCTCCACATCCAGTATTGCCACCACAAAAGGGAGTCTCGACAATTCTACCAGTATACGCATTACCCATTCCACCACCATCTATAATAAGCATACGGCATCTGTCTCGTGCAAGGCTTGGAGACATACTATCATCGCCTTTTAATTACTTTCCGGAACTGAATTCGACATATCACAGATATATCATGAACGTCTCGGACGCAACCTATATAATGGAAAATATAAACAAGACCAACGATATTCCCGTCATCGTAGGTGGTGGAGGACTCCTGCAGCATTCTGCTAAATGGAATGCAGCGATAAGACATGTGGTACTCGAAGGATCGAGTCTCGTAATCGGTTGGGGCCTGGGTCTTGACGCTATGCTTACCCCAGATGCTTATAAATTTGACGGACTAAATGACAAGACGCATCCAAACCATATAAACTCTTTTGTAGGCTCATTCTTCTCGCTGGGACTTCGAGATGCCATAGAAGGTTATAGATGGGTGCCAGACGTATCATGCATGGATCCGGCCTTCGACAAGTATGGACGTATGGCAGCAAAGTACATAAGGGTTGTTTATCATGATACGGAATATCCATTCAAGATGCCGAATGGATCGATACCAAATGATACCGCAACAATGTGGGATTCAAATTTGGACCTGTATAGTACTCTAGAGTTTTTAGCCAAGGGCGAGTACATATTCACATCATCTTATTGGGGGATGTATTGGGGCACGCTGCTAGGTAGAAAAGTAGTGGCGCAGGGCTCGCATAGGTCGTCATTCAAGTATCATAAATGGCCGCCCATAACTTCTACAAATGATATTACTCACGATATGTGGAATGGCGTCGCTTATCCGAGCGCACTAGAAGAGGCCAGGGAGGCAAATATGCAATTCTGGGACGACGTAAAGTTTGCTCTAAAAGGTCGTTTATCAAACTAGTAATAAACTAGTCACCATGGCTTTAGGTGCCGATATAAATAAATACATAAACATCGCAGAAAGCACACCAGGAGAATTAACATGGTCGAATCCGTCTATCTCCGGGTTTCAATTTTCGCAGTTGATCATTGAATGTGCGTCGCTTTTGCCGAAACTTGTACAATCTTCAAGCGACAGAGACCAAGATGACGTGAAGTTCATCAGGCAGTCCAAATTAGCTTGTTTCTCTATGTTGCTTGTTCGTCGACACTAGAGAGGTGTTTCTATCGAAGACTACTAGTGTAGATTTATTCCGATTGGGTACAAGAATCTATTTGGTGTCATTGTGTCTAATGATTCAGGCAGTGTCGTCAGTGTCTTCCTTACCAATGGCAATCATGTCGCGACGGGCCTTTTCATGTTGGGTTTCAGGCTTCATTGCTGGGAAGAGCAACACCTAAAAGACGGATTATAATGTCAACTCTATGCAGCATTTCAAAAATAATCAGGCTTTACCTCTTTGATATTGTTCGAGTCCGTGAGGAACATGGTCAATCGATCAATACCAAGACCCCAGCCACCTATAAAGTAACTGATTAGATACCGTTTGATTAGCATAAACCAAATTATAAACTTACCAGTGGGAGGCAATCCATACTCTAAAGCGTTACAAAACACTTCGTCAACCATTTGAGCTTCATCATCACCCATAGCCTTATCACGAGCTTGTTGCTCGAATCGATCTCTTTGTTCAAACGGATCGTTCAACTCTGTATATGAATTACATACTTCCTTTGTTGCGACGAAAAGTTCAAATCGTTCACATAATCCTGGCTTTGATCTATGGTACTTGGCCAATGGCGACATCATTTGAGGATGTTCCGTGATGAAGGTTGGATTGATACACTGGACCTCAATAAAATCACCGACAAGCTTGTCTAATAGACGTGCACTGGTTCGAGGAGCACTACATTCAACCTTATGCTTAATACATAGATCAGACAGGAACTTGGTGCCCTGTTCGTCACCCAGCTTGTCCGCTGAAGGGAATGTGACCTTCAATAGACGTTCAAGTTCTTCTATCATACTTACACGACGGAATGGAGGTGTAAAGTCAATCACCAATGGCTCTCCATTTCCCTTGCCTTGCGGGTGATATTTGATTATATAACTACCCGTGATATGTTTGACCATTCCCGATAGCATAGCTTCGGTGATGTCGATAAGGTCAAAGAAGTCCGCATAGGCCATATAGAATTCACAAGTGGTGAATTCAGGGTTGTGAGTCAAGTCGATACCTTCATTTCGGAATTGTCGACCAATCTCGTATACTCGATCGAGACCACCTACAGTAAGCTGCTTCAAGTATAGCTCTGGGGCTATTCGCATAAACAGGTCCATCTTCAAGTCATTATGATGGGTGATGAAAGGTTTGGCCGTAGCACCTCCAGCAATCATATTCATCATGGGTGTTTCAACCTCCAAAAAGCCTAGATTATCTAAAAAGCGTCTTACATAGTTTATAACCTTCGATCGTGCTATAAATTTATCACGGACTTCGTTGTTCATAATCAAGTCGAGATAACGCATCCGATATCGGGATTCCTGATCCCGGAATCCAAAGTGGGCTTTGGGCAAGTTGTGTAGACATGGAGCTAGTAGTGTTACTTCTTTAGGGAAGATGGAGAGTTCACCCTTCTTTGACTTTCCCGGATAACCTCTTACTCCAATTATATCACCACGACTCAGTACTCGATGTTGAGTAGCAAAGTCAGCTTCACAGTCTTGGAAATTTGCCATGACCTGTACCTTGACGCCTTCTCCGTGCAAGTCATAAAAGACAAGCTTGGCACCTGATGTTCTCTTATTATGGATACGTCCTGCCAAGGTTATCGCATCCTCAAGATGCTCACCAGGCTGGATGTGAGAGTACTTTGCAATGTATGCTGGGATCGACATGGATACGTGGAATTTATGTGGATATGGGTTTGGTGAGTTAGTAGCTTTATAGTGCTTGACCGTTTTAGAGCGATGCTCAAAAAACTTTGAGGGATCCATTTCCTCGTCTTCAGCAGCGGCATCACCCTCAGTTTTGAGTGTTGATGATTTTGTTGGAGCAGAAGCTGCAGTTGCAGCCTTCTTGCCTTCCTTTTCACGAGCTTTTATTCGCTTCTTCAACTCACTAATAAATGGAATTGATGTCACCACTATTGTCGAGCAGGTTGCAGTAGAAAAAGGAGCACATTATTGTACCTCTTGGATACCATGTCACCAGTGACTGGATCTAACTGCATGTTCTTTCCATCCTCAACAGCATTGGCTGACACCTCATCAGTCTTGTTGGTCATCTTAATTGTTATTGAGGAGCTGGACAGCCTATTAAAAGGGCGATTATAGCTTGCAGCACCAGTTATGTGGATGGATGCGATTCGTTTTGCCAACAATTGCCGTGAAAATCTCACAAGCATACGATTTGCAGAAGCGTCACGAAATACAAACTCGCTCGAAAGCTCTCCAAAGGAACAGGACAACCAAAAGCCTTTGCACGCGTTTAATTAGTTAATGCAAATGTCGATGTCTCTCATAGCTGAGTCTGTTCGGATGCCATGACTTCACACTTTGCTGCAAAAAATTTCAAACATTCAAACCAGAACCCAGCCATCGCGTTGTAAAGAAACAGACAACTACCTCAAGGATGCCTCTAGCTCATCAACTCCGAGACAGGATAGCACGTGCTCTTACCATCCACGTGGAGCCAAAGAGGCAGGCTTTACGTGCAATCGTCAGAGATGCCACTTTGCCAATGGGAACACGCTTTCGAGCTCAGTTAGACCTCAACAAGCTGCCTAGATACACTCGCCCATCTAATATTCACGGTAGATGTCCAGAAAGTGGCACTAGTCGAGTAAGTTTGTGATGATACATCATCAACATTTCCTGTTGTTGCTGCCCCAAGTTTTCGTTTTACGCATCAAGCATCAGTCAAGCTCCTAACACGATTACCTTAGGGTCTCGTTGTAGAGCACAAGCTCAGTAGAATCTTGTTTCGTGAACGTGCTTTGGGAGGTGAAATCCCAGGTGTGAGAAAAAGCTGCTGGTAGGCCAAGTACATCAGCTTGTGTATGTCAGCACTGTAAATATAAAAGTCCGCAATAGATTTAGACCCCACACTCATTATTCAGGTTCACGTAGCGGATTGCAAGATAACATGAACCTTCTGGCTTCAGCGCCATCAGACATAACGGCTTCAGAGGAAAAGGATCATCGCATGTTGCAGCTCCTCCTCCCGGACAATATCTGAGGAATCACATTCCATCATTCAGGCCGGCATTTGTTTCGTTGTCCTTCCAACTTCAGAGGACGATTGGTGGACCACGATAGTTCAAGCTGACGATGTCGTCGTCACTCACGGCCAAAAATAATCGATAGCATTTCATGCTAACAATGGTGATCTTTGCGCAAAGGCGCTCGAGTCGCTAGAGAGTCGTTCAAGAAGCTTTCAGCAGCCAAGAATTCGAATGTCAGTTGGCACTCTGAAATCATTTCGCTGCTGCTGATCACAAGTTTACCTATGTTTCATGTAAAGGAGATACTCAGAGCTCCAACTTACAAGCTCGTAGATCTGGAAAGGCTGGTGCCAAACCTCATTGTCTGAAGCAACTGATCGAACGCCCTTGGACCTTTCCGCAGTGGTCGGTGACAGACCTGGACCATATAAATTTATTTGTATGTCGCGCATTCTACAACATTTACAGATTTCAACTTGAAAAGATCTTACTAGAAACCACTGAAACCGTTCAAAAGGTGGATACTCTTGTTATTCTTAAAGTCCAACCACAATCGGAGGCATACCCAATCCAACAGCCAATCAAGATCAAACACCACTTTCTAAATGAGATGATCCAACTGTCCTCATCACCGGAAATTGGAAAAGTAATGTTTTCTGCTAAGATGGTTGACGCAAATCGCAGTATTGATGCACTTGCTATGGTGGTATAAGCGGGATATACAGATTGTGCTCAGCGCAAGGCTTTCGAGAATGCATTTAAGAACACAACAATCGAGATTCCAAATAGCAAGTTTCGAAACAGGCCTCCTTTATGGACAAGAATTGGAATGGAATGATACAGTTTTTGTCGTTTACGCCACTAAGGTCTCCTCCCGATTCTAGACTGCTTGGTATGTGGGACTCCACCTCTGAGGCTTCATATTACGCCATCATGTAGTGTCGACGTGCGACATGAAGCTGCATACTCAGCCACTCGTCTGTTCCTGTGTTAAAAAAAGTACAACAAACAGCTATACAACGATTAAAGCGATGAATATATATATATAATTATCTAAATTCAATCTATGCGAACGGTGACTATATACATTTATCTAAATTCAATCTATGCGACGGATACTAGAGAACTGCGATGAGCCAGCTCTAACATAATGTTATCATAAGCGTCCCTTTCATATGATCCCTTCAGCCATTCTGGCACTTCAATGCCCGTGTAGGTATCCTCCTGAATCTGAAGCTTCGTGAGTTCTGCAGCTTGCCACATATAGTAAAAGTTATGAGGTCCGATCTCCCGTAATATGAGCTGTCTTCTAATGATGTCCTGCTCATCTATGGCTAATAAAATCTCAAACATCCGAGGAATATCGACTTCGGGTATCCAGATGACTGCATTCTATTTTTCAAATCAGCAGTCAGATGAGCAACCAAGTTAGAATCGCACATTTGATGATGCAAATGAACAAATTGTAGTTTTCTTCTGGAAATACCTGTAAATGAATCATATCGGCAAATGGGAAGACAATGTCATCCGTCCCAATTAAGACGGGAATGCATCCACCATATACGTTTTCGAATAATCTTACCGACGATGGCACCCAACCAGCTGGTGCCAAGCAGAATGTGGTTTTGCTCATTTCAACAAAGTGAGCATTTTTGGGTCTCCATTTATGTGATTTGATCAAGTGTAGCAAAGTGATGGCGGGATAACTGAAGAATTCTGGGTCTGTGTGGAGCAGTCCTGCTAAAAGATTACACAATTTCGTTCTGACCGGACCCGACAGGCACGTTCCTGCAAATGAAGCAAAGTTCTCGCGAAAGCCATACCGCCACGTGTCTCTGTTGGGAAGACCGTCTGGATGGGCAAAAAAAGGGGCAATTATGTCTCTTGGCCCAGCTTGGAAAGGACTTATATGTATAAACTGGCTCCTCATCTCTGGTGGAGCGTAATAGCTCCCACGGTCGTGGGAATATAGAATTATGTGATCATTCCGTTTCCCATCTAGAGCTGCTTGTACTCGAGGTTCCTTTGCCGCAATGCTGTTTACACCGGTACGAACCAGAGCTGTGGCATTGGGGCCTCCCTTCCATCCGACATCAAAGAAGTAGCATGCTGAGTATATCGGGATGTAAAATAGCGACGCTTCTGAAGCATCCTTTGTTATATAGGGAGACTGTAGCAAGTACTCATGGAAGTAGACTTCATAGGAGTAGTAGGAGGTGCGACACGCCTTCATTATTCTGCCATTATCTGCCTCGTAGAGGTCTTTGCCTGACTTGGCAGGGTCCATATCGTAGACATAACTGTATTTTCAAAGAAAGAGGTGAGCTGAAGAAGGAACCAGTTTAGAATTCATTGATCACATTTTGAGATTTGCTAGTATGGCTTTCCTCCTGGCAATCTCGAACGAGTTGAAAGCCTTGTGACGAATGTCTTCCTGTGCTTCGACGTGCGTCAGTTGCAAGCGGAGACTCTTCGGGAGATGAAAAGACACATACCTTGGTGAGATCATACAATTCGTCTGGTATGGTGTAGTTTGTGTTGGCTTCATAACCTTGATCTCGGTCTTGAAGGAGCACTCTAGTGGTTGTAGATTCACTGGAATCGCAAGGAAGAACAACTTGATGGATTATATCGTTTGCGACACTATGGGAGTGCGCGTTATTCGTTAGCAATCACGTCTAACGGCCTACCCGGCATTTTGACGACCTCCAACCACATACGTACCTCGTCCTCTTTCTTGATAGGAGAAGCAATGATCCAAAGATGAGAGTCACCAACAACAATATCTGCTGTCCTAGCCTGCGCATTGTAATGCCCCTGTGCAGACAGATTTTCGTTCGTTCATAAGACGGCGAACTCTTTAATATGTTTGATGGTAATGAGGCTCGTGTATTGTCATGAGGCTCATGTGGATGGTTTCAAAAATATGAATCTTTTCTATTACGAATGGAGTTGAGCGAGCTTCATCAGAGCACAGAGGCAATTCTGAGCTTTGCCCTTTGCCATTGCTCTGTAAATAGTGGACTCGAGCTGTTTGTCGGCAATGCGTCCATATCGTAAAATCTATGATGTTAAAAGAAGTCTGAGACGTTCAATGAAGTCATCCAGAAACTACTAAAAATTATATTCCGTAAATTTTGAATTGCAGCTGCTCCATTATCCGATTAGCCAGTTGAGAGATACAGACGTGCGCCCGTTTACGATCGCCACTTTCACCGGCAAGTATTTGTTAAGGAATTATTCACTAAAACTACATTTTTAACATAGATTGATCGCCATTTTTCCCGCTGAACCTTGTCTCAACGCTTGCTCATCAATTTGACCTATCATCTCCCGCTAAGTGAGCACATAGCAAAGTTTGTCGCCTTGCCAAGTGAATTCCAACACATAAAGAAAAGGAAAACTCAGGCATGAACGAATGGACCAAATCGAGCCCAAATCTTGCAGTGATCGCCGATAATTACGGCCGCTCGTGCTGCTCCAAAATCTATTCATTGCAATCCTTCGAAATTGTCAAAATCGTACATACGCTACAAGCATTGGAGTGAGAGCTGCTATTGGAGGAACGAATCGCAAGGCATGCTGTTTTGTTGGCATACTTGGAGCTGGAGCATCAGCGCTGGATGCGAGATTGTTATCTCCGGATATACATTAAGTACATTGGATTGGTAGTAAGGCTTGACCTCGCATTAATGTAAACCAAGTGTTCAAAGACATGATATTGCTCCCAAGTCTTTCTTTGATTTGTAGTTATGTTTGGAAACAGGACATGATTCCGTCGTGTCAGATTTGAGATAGGTCGTGTAAGAAAGCTTTTGGGCAGCATCAACGCCATTCTCGTGTGGAAGGTTCTATGGTGGTACGGATTATTTCTGGATGACGCCCATCCTAACCTAATGCTTCGAATTATGAACCCAGTATTAAGACTTATTGCGAATTGCGTATCTTCAGGAATACTGTTGTACTCATTGTGGTGTACCATTTATGTTCAGCGTTTCAGTTACCGGTGGTCAACACTGCTGGGATCACCGGTGGCAGTGGCTCCACCCTTGCCGGCCTGGGTATTATACCTCTTTTATAGTCGGTTGGAATCGTAAAATTAACTTTCAACCGCCCCGTCATGGATATGTTCAAGTCCATCAAATCCTCTTTATATATGCGACGAGCCGGGTATCCCAGTGAATTCGGTCTCTTCAGCAGTTGCCAAAATAATCCTGGAGTACAAGTTTCGTTCTTCAAAAGGGCATTACATTCCTCTTGAGTGAACGCCAGTTCCCATGTTGGATTTTGATAACTCCATGTGCCTGTTTGAAAGACGATTGAAGCGGCTCCCGGTACAGAGATAACTGCATCACAAACGCCATCCAACCCCTCGGCAGACCAGGTTTCAGCGGTTGGTCCATGCACAATCACTATGGGGCCTTCTGCAGGATACGTGAGATACGATCGGAGTGTACTCTGTTCAGACCAGTGCTGATGCTAAGAGGCGGGCAACCTTAATTTCCAGATGGTGAGACAATAACGAAATAGGTCGTACTTCAAGGTTATTAGCACGTAGCCCGAATCCCGAAGAGAGCCAGCCCATTCGAAAATCGGGATATTTAACCAAATAGTCATGCGCCAAGACCATTAACACGTCTAAGCATCCACGAACATTAAAGAAACACTCAATATTACATTCTGAAACATCAGACACAGTACCTTGATCATTTCCCCATTTCACATACTTGGACTTTGTTGCGACTAGTTCCAGTGTATAGTTGTACCACGAATCCAAGAAGTGAGCAGTTCTATTATTCCACCACCAGGCTCTAACCCCACAATCTGGGATATAGTAGACCGGATGATGTGAAATAGTTGCAAAGTCTACTCCAACGTCCGGATTGAATATCGCCTTTACAGATCCACACGGATTGGTATCTGTATCTGGTGCTAGCGTGATTTCGAAAGGCGTAAAGATCTTATAACGAATTCTGACAGCCCACATCGGATCGTTTCCATATGTAGTCATGTTGATACTATTGGGATACCAACGACATCAGTATTGAAAAAGAATATTGATTCGAATGTTCTCTTACAAAATGTGTCTTGAAAAGAGACTGTCACTACAGGCCATTCCCGGGACTGATGTTGCCATGACAATGTGGACATCTGGATTATACCTCTTGTACGTTTTAGCGACTCGCACGCCCTCTTCGTAGTACGTCATGGCTTTTGTCGAATTCGAATGCCATGCATACATTCTTGATGGTTGAGGGGAAACAATCAAATGTTAGTGCCACGGCACAGAGTTTGAAACAATGCAACAATGAAAGTCTCTGACACAGCCAGCAGAGGAAAGTATCAAAAAGAAACGAGTCACTTACAAAATACCAGAGCCAATCTTTTGTTCCGGAGGGTCAAAGATGTAGCATTGTGGGACGTTTGAGAGAACTTGGGGAGGAGTTTGATAAACAACTCCAGTTTCGATTGTTGAGAGCAACTCAGGACATGATGCATCGTTTATGGTGGTGAGATCCGCCGTTGGTTCGTTGTGTTTCAGTTGCTTTGTCGGTTTATAGGCAAGCATCAAAATTGCGAATATGAATGCAACCGAGCTCAGCATTAGTGGTACTCTTTTGAGATTCTTGCTAACCATGGCGTCGTATTCTAACCTGCACTGAAAGCTTTTAGCTTTTAATGCTAGTAGATGCGATAGAATAGCAATGATAACTCAAAAGCATGAAAACCTGACCTGGTCTACGATGTAGCGCGCCGGGAGGCGTGGAATCGAAGGGGGCCTTTGTCTTGGTGTCTGCTGATGCTCTGGAGAGTGGTCCTTGGTGAGGAATCTAGACTTTTGCTTGGCAACCACTGCTGAGCCTCAAATCGTAATGGGTTTTGACCTTGGTTTTGACAGCGAGAATATCGGATTGCCTTGGAATGCGGGGAATTGTTGGAAGATAGCAAATCGTCGCAACATCTCCCACAGTTTCACTTTCAAGCATTTCTCGAATTGTGTGAACTATGAGAAATGAATAATGCTAAGGGGGAACTTTGGGCGAACCAGTAACACGTATTAGTACCCCCAAGAGTGGGTAGTTAGAAGATCAGTGAAGCACAAAACGATAACTGGATACTATGGCCAGCCTGTTCCAAATACGTTCGTCGACCAGGCCACGAACCTCAAATACAACACAGGCAAAACTGTCTGCTGAAGGAGGAACTGGCAGAAATTTAAGCAGGCAGCTGCTAACAGCAAATTCACCAGTACCACCAGTAGACAATGAAGCTACGAAACAGTTGGAACTGGTCTAGATCAATCAGAACACAAAAGTTACGCAAGGCGGAAAGGGGCGAGCTGAAGGCCAACCTCAACAAGACTACCACCTAAGTACATCCTGCTCTGTATCATTTTTAGAAGCCGAAATCAAGGGAACGATATCCTTCCTCTAAACTCAAGTTGTTGTTTCAACCGACAAGTATTTTTAGGGATGCAGCAGTTTGGGCTTTTGCGCTTTGTAATTACGAAACTGTTCTCGCTGCCTGAAAATTATAAAAATATTCGAATATATTGAGATCGTTCAATGAAGCGATATTAGAAACCGGCCGTAGTGAGAGCGTTTGACAGGTCCTCCACCAGATCCTCCACATCTTCAATACCGATACATAGCCTGATTAGATCTTCAGGAAGAGCTCTTTCTTTCCTCACGTGAGCAGGAATCGAAGCATGCGACATGCGACATGGCATGCTAGAGAAGCACTCTGTGAGCCAGAAGAAAAGAGGAAATTAAAGCATCACATACCTTATGAGCGAGTTGACACAACCAAATGACACACTAATAGCCCATATATGAGTGCTTTCAACAACCCTTCCACTCTTTTCAACATCACCCGTCTCAAAAGACAGGACAGCTCCTGGTCCTTTTGCCATCTTGTTGTGTAAATGGTATTGGGGATGAGAAGGCAGACCTGGGTAGTGCACTTTGAATCCTTTGGATTCTAGAAATTCAGCGACAATCCTAGCGTTGGCTTGCTGTCGATCCATTCGGACAGCCAACGTCTTGACGCCACGTAATAGCAAAAAGGAATCTAAAGGTGTCAAGCCACAACCTGTAGCATTGATAATATAGTATATTTTCTATGATGGGTTTATGTTAGTAATGGGATTTCGGCGGTTAGGGTGACAGTTGCAGTTCAATTGTTACTGCACATGACCCATACCTGTGCAAGAGCCTCATCTTTGACACCAACAACTCCAGCCATAAGATCATGGTGACCGCTAAGATACTTGGTTCCAGAGTGGTACTCAATGTCTGCTCCGAGGTCCAGGCACTTTTGAAGGTATGGACTCATCATAGTATTGTCCACGACAACAATTGCGTTAGGAGCTTGCGCTCGTACCAAGGTGGATATGGTGGGTATGTCAGCAATCTTTATCATGGGGTTGGTTGGTGTCTCTAGTAATACGAGACGTGTCTTTTCTGACAGGAAGGGTAAAATACTGCTTGCGGTTGTGGTATCTACATGATGTACGGTGACTCCATTATTATCTTTGAGGAATGTAAGCAATCGATTAGTTCCTGTAAATAGGGTATGGGGTTAAGTCTGAGATTCGAATGACATATCAATAAAGGATTAATACAAACCTCCGTATAGATCATCACCAGCAATGATTTCTTCCCCAGACTTGACCAGTCGTGATATGACATCTAGTGCGCTCATTCCACTGGTAATCGCAAAAGCTCGCTTTGCAGCCATAAGTTTGGCCAAATGCGACTCTATTGGTCAGGTTTGACTTTGTGAGCAGACGTGATTACTGACAGCCTGCAAGCAAACCTACCAAGATGTGTTCGAGTTGGATTTCCGGATCTCGAGTAATCATATTCGCCCATCTCGCTTGATGAAGATTGTTTGAAAGTGGCACTCATGTAGATTGGAATGGATGATGCATTGTATGAATCTCGAACACCAGTGTTTTCGATGAATACACATTCTGTTGCTGGCCTATAATGAGTGACTTGCAGCCTAATTGAAATGGTCAAACGATTAGCATAGGTAAATGAGAAGTCCTTATTTGAAACCTGCCTTGTGTCGTCCAATGGTGTTGATGTCGCCCTGATTTCACTGGCAACCAGAGAGTCCTTGTCACCTTCAACACTGGCAGTTCCCTCAATGAAGCCGGAATCGTCGTCACTATCTCGTAGGCAAGCTTCTTCTTTATCTAATGCCATCTCGCTGGTTTGTGGCAAAAAAGTTTTGAATTGACAGAGGTACAGAGTATGACTGAGCTTGTTGGAGCCGGCGGTCTGTATAATATCAAGCTTGTTTGGCCCACTTTAGTCTCGTTAAAAGCTTTGGTTTTGTTTGCGAACGAATTGGTGAGTATGAAGTTCAGAACGCTTAAATCGCCTCAGGAACAAACTAACAAACTGAACTAGTAGTAGGATAGATTCTCGCTCTGAGTATTACCCATTGCGTCTTGATCACTGACCACGCTTCAAAATACGACAAGGCCTGACTTGTTGAACAACACATTCGTGCTCCAACCCCAAACAAGAGCAGAGGGACCCACATCATTGATCCATGGTATAATGCCAATGAAATGTGACGCATCTCTCGGCGCGGCCATATAGAAAAATCGACGCACGACACGTTCTTTGTCGCGGAATGACTGGACTTTGAAACTCAACTCTAGAGCATACACTAATCAGTAAGAAATGATGTAATTCTGTTGTTAATGTGCTTCATTTCGTGTCTTTTTGCTTGTTTCGAACCATTTGCTCATGGTCATTCCAACGTTTAGCTTCTGATTGTCTCGCTCCAACACTTGCCATTATCTGCTGACAGGGTTCCAGAGTCGATCGTTCGCGAACAGAAATTACCTTTGTTAACTTCTCTAACATAACTACAGAATAGTGGGGTGTGAACGACCAAATTGAGAGTCATCCTCAGAGAATCGCAAATGGAACTGGAGCTATCGTCGGTGTACCTGGCATGTACATTGGAAAACAATGTCTGAATGCTGCAAAAGCTTCACATCTGATAGGAAACCTAGATTGGAAGAATGCTATTGAATAGCTATTGAGCAACTCGGCCAGTTGGTCGAAGACTTGCATTTTGGGTGTTTGGTGTAGTGGTTAGCACACTACTAGTCAGGGCTCAGTTCCCTGAAGATCCAATTTTGCTGTTTGTAGCTCGCTCTCTCTCTCTCACTGTTAGCTTTTCATATGAAAAGCCAACTGAACTATCAAAACTATCAAAACTTTCAGTCAAATGAAGTCCAACTCGTTTTTACACAGTTTGCGCCCGATGTGGACTACGAAAAGCTTAAACAGATTACGATGCCTTACCGAGAAATGTATGATCCCACGCATGGATACCATGTGAAAAATGCGTATGATTACCAGTTTGTCAGGGACTGTTTAGCACACAAAAACGAGCGCATCGATCCCAGTAAGTCCCTGTCGTTACCTGTGTGCGATTACTTTTTCTCTGATACTGTTTCATAGGGTTTGTCAAGGAGTGGTGTCTCATTGCTGCAATGGAGGACGACTTGAATCCTGACTGCATATTTTGGGTGGATGTGAGAGGCCTTGATATACAGCATTCCTGCGGATAATGACCTAACACGTTTTGTTTCCCGAAATCAAATAGTGATGCAGTGTTTCTCAATCAATACATTACTTGCACATTCGTTGACAACGATACGACGTAGCAATTGGACCGATTCTGTTACTGTGCGGGTTTAGCAGTGAAGGATCGCCTTGATTGACCTCGCCTTCCTCTCGTTTTGACGGTTCTTGCTCTTGGAACAAAATCCTCATAATGGGATAAAGAATGGTGCAGGGTCCAGACGCTTATTTAGGTAAGAATGAGGGCCTTTCTAAACGCTTCGCAAAGAGTTTAATTCGTTAAAGTGGTAGGTATATGTGGAGACATACTTCCTTGCACCCGATGAAATGGTCTTTTGATGCCCAAGGTGTATAAATACGATGACAATTATCCAAAGGTAACGCACTGTCGTGTAGCTGCTGTCTTTTGCTACTGAAGCATTCATTTTACTAGAATAAACATCCTTTCAGTTTTTGTGAGAATGGTGCCTACTGGTATCACTATCAAGGTTCATTTATAATGACCGTGCGGGCTCCTCCAAAGGAACTACTGGAAGAGGGCCGTTCGAGACCAGGATCAGTGGGTACGTCTAGACCGATCGAAAAGCATGAACTATGGACACTAACCTACGTTTCATTCAACCTCATTCAAAAGTATTAATGCAATTGGCTCTCATCTACATTTAATTGACAACTGTTACAGTTTCTACGACGGATTTATTTAAATAGCTGAATTATTTCTATATTGTGGTGGCATAATATCATGTAGCAGCATTCTTGAATAAGTGATGAAGTCAAGGTCTGCTTTGAGGCCGTGCAATAAAATGGTATTATTAATTGTTACGTTACGTTTAAAGGCGTTTCGTCCCACAGTAGGTGGCTCGTAGAACTCTGTCTTTTTGAAGGGCCAAAAGTGCTGAGTCTTATTCTTATCTCGTAGCCACTTGCCAGTCATCGAATCTTCGTGGCCAATAGCGTTAGCTTTGGGATGGGAATCGTGAGCAACCCATTTTACAAGATCCCAAGACAGACCGTAACACCAACCAGACATATAAAAGTCCCACTGATGTCCAAAGTAAGCCCCTGTTCGCTTGTCAGCTCCTTCTACGTCTAGACGGTACTCAAGTCTCGGCAACAATATAAATGAATCGTCGTCGGCTTTTGCAACATACAGATATTCATCGTCTTCAAAATCTCTCCCTACTGCTGCAAAATACTCGTATGTTTTGCCTTCGTTCATATTCTCCGTGATATTTAAAACAAGTATGTCTGAATATAGCTGGTTCTCTAAGGCAACGTAAGCACCCATGACATCGTTCTTTGGCTTGCCTATTACAAATATAGCATCTATTCTGGATGTTCTATGTTGCAAGTATGTCGACCTTATTACTTGTCGACGTCCAAACTTCTCGGCAGTACTAAATATACCCAGTAGCAGCACTTTGGATGCCGCTGGATTTATTCTTGGCGGAGGAGCCAGCCGCTGACCAGATATCAGCAACCGTAGAGTGCTTCGCTTCCTAGTTGGCAGTGGTAAAGGAGAAAAAGAGGGCAAAGATACCAGGCTAGCGGTTGGCGTACTATTGATATTGTCAATTACTGCCTCGGAAGCGTGATTCATATTGACCTCAGGTCTTGAGCTAAGTATACCCCCAACAGCAAGAAGCAGCAACATAGCGCCTATCAATATTGTAACTCGTTGACGGTCCGGGTACCATACACCCCACAGCAGGACGGTTCCATAGCCAAACAATTGTATGGCGGATATACTCGTGGACCAGAAAAAAGTTGAAGCCGCAATCACCACGACATCACTAACAAATCTGGACGCAGTCATCAGCGAAATCGAAGCTTTTCCCACCTAGAATCAGTGTCAGTAGAACGAAAGTAAAAGGAACAGCGAAGCATGCTTACTATTAAACTCGCTTCCAGATTCGCGAGGAAGGCCACTACACAATTTAAAAGCAACACGTGTATTCCAAGTGCATTGATGTGGCTCATAGAGAGGTTATTAGCCTCAAATATTAGAAATCCTAGCCCACTCACACCAGCGCATATCTAAAAGATTCAAAGGTTCGTTTGGTTTGTGTGGTCATTTCAGGAAACACATCAAATACTCACCGGTGCGAAAAAGTGGAGGGGGAGCTGCCGTCCCGGCATCAATTCTGAACTTATGGCGATTCTAACGGCCTCTATAATGACTGCCATCACTTGAAAGATGAACGCTACGAACGGCCATTGGGTTTCCTTGTACGAAACGAAAAGTACAGCAACAATCACAATCAGCAATCGCAATAGAGTCCCGGTAGCCTCGTCTTTTCGAAATGGGAATCCCAGAATAAATGCAATGACCGGGGTACTGGCCTAATTCAAAGAACTACGAGTCAGCACCAATTTGGTCATAGACTTGTTTGACGGCTTGAATGTCGTTTACATACTTTCAACATAGCAGTACAAGTCGCAGTCAGGTGAAGAGATGCCATATTTGACGCCATCAGACTGATGGAAAACAGCAAACCCATTGGCAGAACCACTACCAGTTTACAATCGAGAACAATCTCGTCATTGCGATTTGTGAGCTTTTCTAGTGCCCATGTTCCAGCGGTGGCCAATAAACTTTGACACAATGTCAGAAACAATGGAAATGCTATAGAAGGAAGAGGTTTGAGGTTGGCACATGTGACTGTTCAACGATATTTGATGATATATTCATGATGCCCGACAACACCTACGAAAATCGAGTTCATACAAAAGGTACTTGTTGAACAGGACGGTTCCTGCAGATGCAGCAATCCATAGTGAAGCTTTAAAGACCATTGCGGGCAGATGCTTGGGGAAGCGTTGTGAATTCAGTCCGCTTGGGAAGAAATGTTCTAGTTTCATTCCGTGCGAAGCCATAAATGAGGTAAGAAGTCCGCTGGGAAGTCCAGAAGTTGCCTGTCGCAGCTTGCTTTCCATTGCAAGGATGCCAGTAGTAAGGTAGTCCTCTTCCAGTCTACAAGTGGTTTGTGGCTCAGATGCGACCCTTCCGAAAGGCCTTGGAAAAACTCACAATAATGTCAAGAATCGCCTAAACTGGAGAGCAATGATGTCGGTCCAGCTGGGTTCGTCACTGTTTCATTTTCACCGAATGATTCATTCAAGAAGTGCCACTTGCATCATCAAATGCCTACCGATTCTACGCTCTTTGGTAACTGCTAGCCAAAAGCACTCATGGTCTGCTTCATCGTTTTGACAACGGAACAGCTATTTCATTATTAAAACGATGCTCGCCGCACAATCAAGCAGTGACTCGACAGTTGGTCGCATATTCTACCCCCACAACTCTGCAATTCTGCACAAGACACCACTTTCAGAGAATTGTCGTTTCTGCTGTTTCATATGGTTTCAAAGCTGGGTTCTCGGGCTTCTCGGGACGGGTCAACCTAGCTACGCCATTTATGTACCAATCCTTAATACATGGACCTTACTCCGTTCCAATTTATGTGAGAGAGAGGTACATCGATCATACTCTGTTCCAATTTATGTGAGAGAGACGAGAGTACTGCGATGAGCCAGATCTAGTAGTAGATTATCAAACGCATCCCGTTCATACGACTCTTCAAGCCACTTGGGGAACTCGATGACCTTGTCGCGAGCCTCCTGAATCTGAAGCTTCTTCAATTGAATGGCTTGCCACATATAATAAAAGTTATAAGGTCCGATCTCCCTCAGTATGAGCTGCCTTTTAATGACTTCCTGTTCATCTATAGCTAATAATATATCAAACATGCGAGAAATGTCCTCTTCGGGAATCCAAACGATGGCATTCTGTTGGTTTGACGAGAAACTTTAGTCTAGCATAACCAAGGTGACCCAAAGCTCTGTTTAACACAACATTCTCACAAGAAACAACAGGTTATAACACTTGTCGTACCTGTAGATGTATCGTATCGGCAAAGGGGAAGTCAATGTCATCACTCCCAATCAGCACTGGAATACATCCACCATAGACACTTTCAAAGAATCTTACAGACGATGGCGACCAGCCAGCTGGTGCCAAACAGAAGGTCGTTCTTCTCATTTCATCAAAGTGCTCTATCTTTGGCCTCCATTTGTGTCCTGCGATTAGGGCAAGCAGCGTGATCCTTGGGTAGCTGAAGAAGGCTGGATCCGACTTAAGCAGGTCATCTAAAAGATCACACAATTTTATTCTAATTGGAGCTGAGTTACTTGGCGCACAAGACCCAGCAAATGTAGCAAAGTACTCCCTAAAGCCATAATGCCAAGCGTTTCTATTGGGGAGTCCTTCTGGGATAGCAAACAGTGGAGTAATGATGTCTCTAGGCCCGGCTCGGAAGGGACTTATATGTATAAATTGGGAGCTCATCTCCGGTGGAGCGTACACGCTTCCTCGGCCGTGAGAATATACGATGATGTGGTCTTTGCGTTTTCCATCTAAAGCGGCCTGTACTCGTGGTTCCTTGGCAGCTAAACTTTTTATACCATCCCGAACCAGCGCTGTGGCATTAGCGATGGATTTCCATCCAATATCAAAAAAGTAGCATGATGAGTAAATCGGTATATAAAATAACGATGCTTCGGATGCGTTCTTTGTTATATAGGGAGACTGTAGCAAGTATTCATGGAAGAAGACCTCATACGCCCAATACGACAGCCGGCAGTTTCTCATAATTCTACTGTTGTCAGCTTCGTATAGCTGCTTGCCAGATGTGGCAGGATCCATGTCATAGACATAACTACAATTGGAAAGAGACGGATGAGCTAGGAACGTTTACTGGAGCAAAAGTCACGGTATACATTTTGAGATTCGCCAGTATGGACTGCCTCCTGGCAATCTCGAACGAGTTGAAGGCCTTGTGACGAATATCGACCTGTTGTTGAATTTGCAGTGGGTCAGTGGTGAGACGCTTCAGAAAGCTCATGAGGCAGGACATACCCTCATGAGATCATACCATTCGTATGACATGGTGTAGTTTGGGTTGGCATGGTAACCTTGATCTCGATCTTGGACGAGCATCCGAGTATCTGTTGATTCAGTCGAATTGCCAGGAAGGCTCGCTCGCTGTATTGTAGTTTCTGTTTCACTACGAAAGGAAAGATAAGTTAGCATAAAGTTAAGGGTAACGACGAACTTGTACCTGTCCGTTCTCCAAACAGAAAGAAAACCAACACCGACTGCAAGAGCAACCAGCAACAGGACCAGACGCCATAGACTCTGCATCGTAACGCGCCCAAACAGGCCAGCCTTCATACTGTCCTAAGTTTAGCGTTGATGGCCGGCCACTTCCGCCCTCGTTTTTAGATTAGAGCTCAAAACTGAAGACTACAACAGTACTGGTAGAACGGTAGTACACAACTACAGATAAGAAAATGAACCTGGAAATCGACGTACTAAGAACCTAATATGAACCAATCACGGGATAGAGCCGGGAGTTTCTTTTGTGTGATATGGTTATCTAAGAAATCAAGATAAAACATCGGACACCACTGCCACTGGCCATCACGAGAAAACCAACTATGATTATATTCATGCGAAACGACCTATACATAGAGCAACTGCTTTTAATCCCAGTACTTAATGGTGCCATCCCAGGAGCAAGTTGCCATCTTTGATGTTTCGTGAGGATGCCATTCAGCATTCAACACGACTCGATCATGACACTTCATCTTCTTCAACACTTTACACGACTTCCAGTCCCAAAACCAGACAAAGCCTGCTGAATCTCCTGATGATATAAAGCGACCGTCTGGTGAGAAGGAAGGTTGACAAGCGTATCCAGCTATAAGGTGACCACGGAATCCCTTTTTACGATTCTCGCGGAAACGGTCTCGGGCAGAGTACACTACGATCTGGTTATCTAGTGATGTACATACAAGCCATTTTTCTACGGAAATATAAGTCAGCATAGCTAGGTACAATCCTTTCGTTCAGTCAGGTACACTTACTGTTCGGCGATAGAGCAGCAGCTGGCATAGAGTGCATATCGGGCTCTGCAATATACTTGATCACTACCGGTATATCATATTCCCATACTCGCAGCGTCTTGTCGTCAGATGTAGTGACAAATCGCCTATTATCATCCACAAATGTGATGGTGTTGACGGCACCTAAATGCTGATCATATTCTTGCGTAATCTCTCCAGAGTTGATGTCGAATTGCACAATCTTTTTGTCTTGCATGCCGGCCAGGAATATGTGTTGCTTATCATCGTCTGGGTTGAATTTGATACAATATGGTGTTTTGCGTGTTGTGAATGATGATATGCATTGACCTGGAAACCAGAGGAAGGTAGTTTAAAAATTTGAAAGGTACAGTACAACTGGTTGACTGGCACTTACCAGTCTCAGTATCCCAAAGTTTCATAAATCGGTCATAACTTGCCGTCAAAAAGCGGGTTCCATCATTGTTGAAGCTCACATCTCGAATACCTTTACTATGACCTATATACGTTCTCAATACACGACGATCATGATACACATCCCATAGCTAATCAATGTTAGTGGTAATGAGAAAATGAGAAGTTGCGGGTTGACTGCTCCAAATGAGCGCTTACCTTTGCTTTACCATCCATAGAACACGACAACAGCAAATGACCCGATTTGGGAAAGAATCGAATAGCATTAACACCTTTAGTGTGTCCCGTCCAGGTATGAATCAGCTTCTTGGGCAAAAAACATTCCTGACTACCAGACTCTCCCAATAAATTAACATCCAAATCTGTTGGTACATGCATATACGTTCTGCCCAAATAATCCTTCTCAGATTCACCATGGAAGACGGTTCTTTCACTACCAGGCTGTATTTCTGCCTTTTCAGGATTGGTACTTCCTACGGTAACCACGACGGGCTCATTGGTATTGGCTGGCGTAGCTATTCCACCAATCGTGCCCGTGGATGCGTATTCTGCGGCGTATCGTTCAGCTTCTGATGGTGCGGCAATAGTGCCAGGTCCAACACGTTCTTCTTCATATCCAGCCCATGGACCCGTAAAGTTCAATGGATCAGATACTACATCACCCCGAGCTTTACGTTTAGGAGCTGGAGCTTCCCGTTTGATGGAATCGTTTATAGTAGCGCCATTCATCTTATAGGCTACTTCTGCATTTCCAACCATCACATCTCCGTTCGAGTTGGGATCAACGGTGTATCCAAAGTTATGATACGTACGTTGTAGGGTATTGAATGTAACATCGTTGACATGGAAGCGTTCTACGTATCCTGTTAATGTGTTTTTCTGCTCTTGATGTGCTGCTCGCCACGGATTTGCTGGACCAGCAACAGGTTTGGCTAGATCTTGATATAGCATATTATGAGTCAATTCTTTGGTTTTTGGACTTGTTAGAGGTCTATATGATGATAAGTCCTATAAAACTTGTGTTGGTTGTCGTCTGAATATTGCTTCTTCAAATAGCGACAACAAACCTGTGCATTGACATCTGGCGCTAGTTCAACTCGAGGCTTTTTAACAACTGCTGGCTCTTCGTCCTCTTCGGAACCAGAGCCATATCCTCCCAGTGCTTGCATTGCTACGAATCACTAGTTTACCGAGAAACTGTGAGTTTTGAACGTTAGAGATCGCAACTAAGTGAACTAAGGGAAAATAACTTGCTACATTGCGATATACACATTTTATTTTCAATTTTGAGCAATTTTCATATTTTACTGGCCATATACTGCACCATAGCCTCTGATTGTTTCTAGTAAGACGATAAGAAATTCGAGTCTCGAACAAGGTGAAAATCACTCGCATCAGCATACCTGCGAATGCCCATTCCGTTTCGAGTTCATAAGGAGCAGTGATGGTGACTCCCTTGTCTGTCACAGTAGCGCGTTGCATCTAAACGAAACAGGAAAATGAGCACTGAAATCAGAAACACACATCAGTCCATGTAAATAAAACTTACCTTGTTTAAAGATCGAGCATCACGGTAGTACAGTACACGCATACAATCGTTCAGCAGCTTGACGGCTTCTTCTTCGGTCAGGGTATCTTCACGTCCTTCTACAGCTTTTCGTAAGAGCGGTTGAGCGATATAGGCTCCGTAACCAGTGGCAATGGTAGAAGACTGATATGTGGTGCCTTGCAAATCAACATATCCCAAGAACCTATATACAGGATTGGATCACACACGACTCGTACAATTACATTTTCATATGCTTACTTTTCCGCATTCCTGTAACCTCCAACCACAAGATAATTCCAGAGAGGATTGACTTTTGTTCTTCGTCCATACATGACTCGTGACAAGTATTCATAGATGTTGTGAGGGGACATTTTGTGGCCGTCATCTATATCGTATTCTTTAATCCTATGAGAAAATACTTTAGTCCGTCAGTTTTACCAAAAAAATAGTTCGTTGCGTACATGAGAGTTTCCAGCATGTGCTTGATGGCTTGAAAATCTGATATATCTCCAGATGCACCCATGACGGTAAAGTCGCCGACTGGAATGATACGCTCCACATCACGGAAACGAGCAAGAGACCCATATGAAGCTATAAAATAGTGTCAGTAAACCGATTTATGCATGTGATACGAAGCAACTTGAACGAAGCATACCCAAATTATCTGCTATCATCATAATGCCATCTTTGAATTTGATGCCAAGTACTGAAGTACCAGTTACAACTGGTTGTCTGAATGGATGTATAGAATTGTAAATAAATTATTCGATGATTATGAGATTACAAGGAACGTACGATGTCTTGGTAATTGGCATGGAAGAAACATGTGGTGTGTTGACAGAGTTTCGGCCAGGAAACCAGTCTGCAGTAGAATCGAATAGAGAGTTGTCTCTACTACGAGGATTACCCCAATTGCCAGGAAAATGGTCCATTTCTATGTAACTGCCGAGGTCTGTCCGATTTTTGATGCCTATTAAAGTTATGACGCGTCGACGACCACGATGTAGCTTTGTAAGAACTTAAGGAGAGACACGCATAAAATACGTAGTATGCAGTAAGCGGTAAGCGATAACAGATAAAACTGACAAAACGTGCTTTAAATTTTCTAATTGTAAGTGTATACTATGATAGTCGACGGAGTCGTCTTGCTGGGAACCGCGTTGAGGTTGACAAGACAGCCGATAATAGCAATTTCTTTATGAACCTTCTCTCCTTTCAACTGGCCTTTCAAAGTAGTCCGAAGCGAAAGCCTTGAGTTGGGATTCGTGAGACTGTACAAGGCAAGCCAAGATACGTTTTCAACATCGAAAGCCTTTAAATGACCCCTTTACATCTGGTTTTAGACTATTGATTTATGGTATTGGGTGCGACAGAGTATTGTTCGATGACAAGCAAATCACAAGACTATTTTCAGATCCGAGAGCTGTGGCAGATATCCTTCTGTATGTGGTATTCTCCTAGCCAACCGCTTCAACACCATTCTACCATATCTATCTGCAAACTTATTCATACACTGACTCCGTGTTTCCCAATGCCCTGGTCTGTGATTGAGTCCATTCGCTTTATCAAGTTCTGCTATATGACCTCGTCCCATTGGGACTTCTAGTACAACCGGAGGATGACCTGTAGCGTTAGCGACGACAAAGTTGATTAGTATGTCCTCGCAGTTCATGACCTCGTCTACAAAGTCCTTTAGCTCGTGAGGTGTTTCATAATTGAACAATCCAAAGAATTTTCGATGAGTAACCATCCCGGTGGGCAAAACCATTGAAATTCCGTTGTCGACTTCATACTGATAGACCCATTTGCCGGCTTTTTTGTCGTGACCTCTTGGGTCCGTGCCAACAAGGTAATCCCAAAAATGACCACGCCACACATTGACAGTGTAAGTCAACACCTCTTCAGGCCTAAGTAATCGAATGAATATCACAACTGCGACGTTCTGCTAATTCCATGGCTTACATGTCATGGTCATCGTCCATAGTAATGATGCAATCCGTTGTTATTAATGGGTGAGTCATAAAGCGACTGCTGAAAGCATTCCGCTGACGTATAAAGTGTACTGGTATCCGATACTGTTCTGGTTTTACTGTCGGTATTGTAGCATTGGCGTTTTTCCACAAAACAAGGATTCTAGATATTACGGCGTGGGATTGATAATGAGCCACTCGATCTAAAACAGAAGCATGTCTTGAAAAAACGGGCATTATCATTGTACAGCTGTCGAATGCGGCTGCATCTTTATGCACAATATCGTAAAGTGAGCCTTGGTGGACAGAACGTGTGTCATAGACAGACATTGTGTCAAGATCTGGAATGATTAGACTTTTCCTAAGCTTCAATGTGTCAAAATTCATTGCAAGAAGTTCCACGGAGACAGAAGAGGGATTCGTACGAATTTACACTGCGAAACGCCTCGTCATTCAGGAAACTGTCCTTCACAGGCGTGATCATAACGTGTCCGAATTCATACATATAGCGTAACAGATACCTATCAAAACAAGGTTTGACAATGCTGATGAGCAATTCGTTTATTGATTTAAGCACAGAAGATTGTTTAACTCTCACTTTTCTAGGCTAGGCTTCCATATGTTGGAATAGGCGTTGGGAATGTAGGGATTTTGAGAACCGTGGTCTCGATACCATTGCTGAAATCGTTTCCATGACCCTGGAGCAAATACAGAGCCCCACATAGATTGCGGGTGTTGATGTAATATCAAACTGTCATTTATATCTCGACAGTTAAAAGGTTCCATTATTACGTCATTATAAGTGATGGGAGTGAGGCTGAAACCCATCACTTTGCGGTTTGGCCCATATTCATGATATCGGTTACGCTCTCCATTGAAATACGCTGTAGAAAGGTCCTCTATATAATCCAAGACGTTTGGATGTAGACTTTGTTCCGACTTCAGAAACATCGCAAACTCTACAATTCGTGAGGTCGGGTCGGGTGGTACCCATGCCTCGTTAATCCAATATTCAGTAGACTGCACCTGCTCGGTTTGTACATTGAGGACGGGTACTCCAACAAGGCGAGGATGCCCAGTTACGTTTCGTGGCGAATGTACCACCACTGATAGAGTCCTGCTTGCAATCTTTCGGGCCTTTGCCAGAGATTTCCATAAAGGCCATTCGGAGCTAGGCTGACTCGAGTCCAAAACGTGAAGGACAACGTGAAGAATGGTACCCTCAACGTTCCGATGCGGCAGTTTCAATGTTGATAGAGTCAGCCACAGCAGGATGGCTAACAACAGACCGATGGTCTAAGGCAAATGTATTAGAAAAAAGACTGGCTCGAAATCGGCAGCACTCCATCCTACCATCAAACAAAGCACCCTCCTCGAAAACATTTTCCCAGAGCCTTTGGACCAACAAAAGTCATGTAGAAACGGCAGATAACGGACTCGTAGCACTAACGGGCACGTTTGCTAATCGGCTTCGCCGCTTGTCTAGAGTCTGGTTTAGTGTATGAAATGTTTTTATGTTCGTCACCAATTGAAGGAAAGACTATCGAACCCCACCAAGGCGAGGGGAGAGAAACACGAAGGAGATTCTCAAGATCCTCCTAGAATATTGTATCGGATAATACATACAGTCCATAGCCTTCCGGGAATCTATTATGCTAGATATCGTACAAATTGCCTTTTCAACCAACTTTTGGCCAACAACACGAAAGAAATCCAACGATACTTTGGATTTTCATTTAAGAATTGCTGAATCTGATCCACCTCTTACGTTGAATTTCTTTAGGCAGCTGCATTTATACCAACTGTTGAAACTAATGTGCGAGCGGCATCTATTTGGTATTTGATTATGGAAGCTGGATATTCATTCTAGCAAGAGCTGTAAGCTTGGGGGACCCTAGTAGTGACTCTACAAAAGCCATGTGGTTGTGGTTGGAACAGTGTGGTACTCTTGATGAGAGGTTGACGGGACGATTGAACGATCAAGACGCTGCTACACTTTGCCAACCTTTCTCTCTCAACTGGGATATGAGCATTGCTATTGACCATCGTAAATTTTCTAATATGCGTATCCGTTTCAAGTTTTCGTCACATTACCCATCAATTGTGGTAGAGCTTGTTTGTATCTAGCTGGAATGGGACGCAATGTATAGGATATTTATACGACGCTGATGCGATGCAGTATGAGATTGTAGGTGTATTCGTTGAAATGGTTTGGTCTGATTGCATAGTCGGTCTAATCTAATATTTAATGCCAGTGATGTTTCTATATACACACTCGACAGCCATAGTTCAGAGCAGGGACGCCCTATGAGCTAGTTCCATCATCAAGTATTCGAAGGCATCATCTCCATAGTCTACCAGCCATTCTTCCACCACACCGTTTTTTTGCAATTGAGCGTTTTGCCACATATACATAAAGGCGTGAGGGCCAATCTCTCGTAATATTAACTGCCTTCTTATTATTTCAGCTTCGTCAAAGTTGAGGAGTATTTGGAAGGTATCCTTGAGTTGATGTTTGGGTATGAAGACTATGGCATTCCTTAGATAAAGCAGATCATCGAAAGGAAAATCTATCTGATCTGCTCCCATTATGACTGGTATGCTACCAGCATATACACACTAAGCACGAGAAGGAAAGTTAAAGACTGACCAACGAAACCAGCACTGGGCATACCTCAAATATTCGAGCTGAAGATGGTAGCCATCCTGCTGGCGCTAAACAAAAGGTCGAATTACGCATCTCGTCAAAGTGGGTATTTCTTGGCGACCATTGATGTCCTGCACGGCCTCCCAACAAGGTAATGACTGGATGTTTGAAGAAAGTCGGGTAGCGACTCATGTATCCATCCAGTAGCTCACAAGCCTTTATACGGAAGGGCGACATATTCTTACTACAAGAGCCCGCAAATGTTGCAAAGTACTCTCTCCATCCATAATGCCAGTTATCTCGTCTTGGCATCCCTTCCGCTGATGTAAATGTCGGTACTATGATATCAGACTGTCGGTGCCTGTAAGTAGCTATATGTATAAATTGGGTGGTCATATCTCCAGGAGTATACGTCGCACCATTTGCATGAGAGTAGATCATGACGTGATCTCTTCTATGTCCGTCCAAACAATCCTTTACTCTTTGTTCCTTTTCAGCCAAAGAGTTCACAGCATTTCGCACTAGGGCGGTTGCATTATCTATTCCTTCCCATCCCAGGGTAAAAAAATAGCATGCTGAGTATATGGGCATAAAGAATAGATTTGCTCGACTGGGATCGAGTGTCCTGTGCGGAGACCTCAACAAATCTACAGGACAAGCACTTAGCGAAAGGGAGAAGGTTTAGCTGGGCACCTTTACCCACTCACATTCATGAAAGAAGACCTCAATTGCCCGCTAATTGAACATATCGCCTTAGTGCAAAGAGAGCAATAAGGGATACTTAAGCACTTACAGGAGATTCACGACACTCCTTCATTAGCTTTCCTCCGTCAGCCTCATACAGCGACCTCCCAGATTGTGCTGGCTGCATATCATAAACGTATCTAAACGAAATAGGCATCAGCTTGTTTCAGTCTTACAAGCTTAATATCACCTGGTACATTTTAAAGTCTTTGAGATCGTCTTGTCGTATCTGCATTCGATGTGGGTCAAAAGCGCTGTACTTTATGTCCTCCTTCATCAGCCGATACAGTGCAGGTGAGATTGAAACATTGCCTGGATACAAATATCCAGATTGGACGGTCTGACGAATAGATCCTCGTCGGACATCTGAGCTCCAGTACAAGAATGCTGGCTGACCAGATGTTTGGGATTGTGGACTGTAATCCAATACAAGAAGCCTAGGATTCGAGTATTTGGTGGCAGTCAAGGCAAGCAGTGAATACCATGAATAAACATCGATGCTTACGGTTCTATCAATGCATAGAGAAACACAAGAAACCAGACTCCGACGAAAAGTCCACCGACAAACGACAAGGTTTGTTTCCTTAAGAATCTCTTGATTATGCGAAGGGCGCGACCTCTTAGAGTCGTTGCTGACTTGACAAGAGTGTCGCTCGTCATCGTTTCAGTGCGAATGTTGTTTGTTTGTTAGAGATAACAAGACACACAAATTGGCGATCAATTTTTAAGACATTGCAACTTAGTTAGAAGTTTTAGTTGGAAGGATTTTGGTACTTGCCGGAAGAAGCTCAATCAAAAGAGGGTCCTCAATCAAACGATAAAGCTGGCGTTGGAACTGGAGGCCTGGAGCTTCAAGCTGTCTTGAAGGAGCCTTTGATACAAAACTAGGGTGGAATTTTGAGCGCATCAATCTAGCTACCATGAAGGGTACTGTCGTTGTAGCAAAAAAGTGGCTATGGCTTGGGGCTTTCGTAACTGCCTCTGTCTTATATTCGCTGCAGTTCGTAAGTCCTGGCAATTCCGATGGACCTCACCAAATGTATGATCTCTGGAGTTAGCAGCTTCGTCCGGCTTCATTTGGCTCACAATTCAAATAGAGAATCTCATCTCATCGCAACTCCAAAGAAGCCATGTCAGCCCTGGAAGATGAGGGGAAAGTTTGTTGCATTTGAACATCCTATAGAATCAGAAACATCGCCAGGCTATCCATACAACACTAGTAGATGCATACAAGTTTTCAACCGGTATCATGGAACTGTCACTGCTAGGAACGCTCCCTTCCCGTATCAATTCATTCCAGACGACGATTGTGAATTGCAAGAATGGGATCCTTTCGCATTCCTTGAAATGTTTCGGAACCGAGAGATTACCATATCTGGAGTAAGGTTGATTGATGTTCGTAAGAGTTCCTCGAGTCGCTTAACTGATTATGATGTTAGGATTCTATGTCTCAGCAAATTTATGTTGTCTTGATTTGTGGACTAGAAGCACCATTCTTTTCGAGCCAAAAAAAATGGGATCCTGCTCTGCTTCCTCAGCCTTCAGAACAGATAAGTCCAACTCATGCACATGAAGGACGAAAGTGGTATTTTCCCACCCATAATGTTACCGTCCATCATGTGTGGCATTATTATTGGTGGGATACGTACAACAAACCTGGAAGTCTAGACGCTATCTCCAATAGCTCATTGTGGGCACCTATGGTTGGACCGTGGTATCAAAATGAGCAAGAGTACGTGTGCCTTGTTTACAGCTGTTTGATACTATACGCCTTCACCTAAAGTCTGGAACTAGTGTCGGGTGTGACAGGTGCGTGAGGAGTTTAGGAACTCACCTGAGCGACTTTTACGACGATTGGATTCAACGGAATCTTTCACAAACGACCCTGGTAGTTCGAAGCTACCTTCCGGTCCACTTCAACAGTAAGCACTATTTTAATAATACTGGATCGACTCAACCTAAATATCTTTTCACGTAGGCACTGATGGGGACTGGCCAGCAAAAACAGGCGAGGGATGCATACCGGCCACAAATAGGGCTTTCACCAACCCCAGATATGCGGTAACAAAAGCGTTTTTTGAAGAATCAACTGCAATTCCTTATTTTGATTCGTACGCACCGTTGGTACCGCTATTCGATCATCATCGTCATGAAACAGATTGCAGACATTATTGGGAACCAGGTCCCTTAGATTCTGTAATTCGATATTTTTGGCACTCGTTGCATCATAGTAACATTTCCGACAACTGGAGGTAGTCCTTGCACATAATCTGAGCTTAGAATAGAATAAGGCTTCGTAATCAAATCATACCAAGTACATTAGTTGCACAAAACAATGTGGATGAGTGAGTTTATATTTTCCAGCTCCCCTATGATTCTAATGATGAGCGAACGAAGACCTGTGCGATGAAAGACGTGGGAATATCTCACGGAACGTATTCATAGCAGGAAATTTGAAAAGCATTCCATCCAATCGATCCAGAGTGAACACATGAAAGCCATGAGCCTCAACAAGAGCCACAGCTTTCCAAAAATGTTACTTTTCAATACACCAACGTTCTTGTTGGCAGGTTGTAGTCCTTACAAGGCTGCCAACAGTATTCTCTAGAACGTAGCTATTACATGGCCTCGCACGGAAAACTTAGTCTCCGATTGGAACTACAACATTTCTTGTCAAACGGATCGAATCCAGATATCGCTCCAAAGCAACTGTGCGTGATTGTCTTCGAGGTCGTCTTATGGATTGTCGCATCTGCAGGAACGGTCCTGCTCAACAAGTACATTTTGTATGAGCTCAATTTCCGTAAGTGTTGGCGGAGCAACGGCAACAACATTGGCAGGACACTGGTGACTGATGCTGTCTTTACAGGGTTTCCTCTGTTTCTGACATTATGTCAAGCTCTATTTGCCACTGCAGGAACGAGGGCACTTCGGATCCTCACAAAACGTACTGAAGAGTTTGCTGTCGAGAGGAAATCGACTAGTGAACTGACTTTACCAATAAGCATACTATATTCCATCAGCTTGATGGCATCAAATATCGCATATCTTCACCTGACTGCTGCTTATATTGTTGTGCTAAAAGTAAGTAAAAGTGACTTGGCTATATATTATTCGAAGAAAGTGCTGACTTGGTGTCTTGAATTAGGCAAGCACTCCAGCCATAACTTTGATCTTGAGGTATTCATTGCGTAAAGAAGGGGTGGTTTGGGCTCTTTTTAGATCGATGATAGTGATTGCAGGTGTATTCTTCGTTACGTATCCCGAGACCCAAATACTGGTCGTCGCTTTAATGTTTCAAGTGATTGGGATCATTTCCGAGGCTGCCAGAATCGCTATAACTCCTCAATTGCGTCCAGAAAGGCAAATTGACGCCCTCCAGCTTCTTCACGATCTCGCACCTGTAAGTACCAACAAAACGTGCCCAAAGTTAACAAACATCTAACACATCTTCATTTGGTTTAGGTATGCGCTTGCGCGAGTGGCGTGGGATTCTTGTTGTTGGAGGCTAGCCATATTTCCATCAGCCAAATCAATGCACTTGGGATACTGTTGCTGCTAAACTGTTTTGTGGCCTTTCTTGCCAATCTCGAACCAAGTGTGATGGTAAGCACGCCGCCCTGAATTTCTTTTTGTTTTTCTGATATTGACGTTGGTTCTAGGCCGGGAAGGCTTCGACTGTAGTTGCGACGGGTGCCAGATTTGTTAGAGATGCCCTCGTGATTACGACTTCAACCCTGTGGTGGTCTACAACCACATCCGTAGTACAGATACTCGGCTATAGCATTGTCATGATCGGGGCCCTGTGGTATCCAGACCGTCAACGAGTCACCGTTCTATTAGTTGCAATGGTGCTGCTTCCAGCTGTCTGGAGTCTATTTAACAACACGCTTGATGTCAACATAAGAGACGTCTCCAATCCAGTAACAGATATATATAATAGGCCAAACTATAGTGAGCTGATTCCAACCGCACCTGCAAGTTCGACACCACGGCCCTCTCCTTCACTGCCGCCGAAGAAGGCAAGTCCGTTACGGTCGTTAATAGCTGGTCAGCGATTAGCTCCATCTGCAAATAAAAATTCGAGTAACCCCAAAGTGCTGCTATTGGGTATATTTAGTACTGCCCAAAAGTTTGGACGTCGACAACTAATAAGGTCGACATATTTGCAGCATAGAACATCCAGAACAGATGTTATATTTGTAATAGGCAAGCCAAAGAATGATGTCATGGGTACTTACGTTGCCTTGGAAAACCAACTATTCTCAGATATTCTTGTTTTAAATATCCCGGAGAACATGAACGAAGGCAAAACATACGAGTATTTTGCAGCAGTAGGGAGAGAATTTGGAGACGATGAATATCTGTATGTCGCCAAAACCGACGACGATTCATTTATATTGTTGCCGAGACTGGAGCACCGTCTAGACGTAGAAGGAGCTGTCAAACGAACAGGGGCTTACTTTGGACATCAATGGGACTTTTACATGCATGGTTGGGGTTACGGTCTGTCTTGGGATCTTGTAAAATGGCTTGCTTATGATCCTTATCCGAAAGCTCACACCATACCAGGCGAGGCAGAAGATAAGCAAATTGGGCTTTGGCTACGAGATCAACATAAGACTCAACACTTTTGGACATTCGACAAGACAGAGTTTTATGAGCCCCCTAGGGCATATCGATCCGACTTTAAACGTAATGTTACAATGAATAGTACAATCTTGTTGCACAGTCTCAAATCTGACATTGACTTTATCGTCTACACGAGAATGCTCTTGTTGGATATTGTGCCGCCAGAATATAGAACTCATTCAGCAAGTTGAACAAATATTGTAACCGCCGAAACAGTTGAATAGATTGCATACTTTTATAACGGGTTTCGAGCTAACGTTCAAGCTCATAATTTTCTCGCACTTTCTAAACGGAAGATGCGGTAAGAGTTTCCAATAGATTATCATTAGCCATCGTTTTGCGTGATTCGTTGTAAACCGAGCATCCAACGTATAAAAGCGTGGAGGGCTGGGGGTATTGCAACTCCCCCATCATATCGGCGATGTCGACGCATTGAGTCAGTTCGACTCCTGCCTTTTTCTGTCTTGCTTGTGCTTATGTTTCGCTGAATCCGGAACTGAAGTATTGATGTCGAGGGCCTGGAAAGTCAGCAGTGAGAATAAAAATTGTGGTAGTTCCGATCACATCTATTCACAACTCCAGGACGTCCATACAGAGACTGCTTGGCTTATCATCAGCCTGTAAGGAATGGTCAATCGCTGCAAACTAAAAGCGCCTTACTTAACTAGAAATAGTCTTCAGATGTTATAGGCCTATATTCGGCATTGACCGACCAGAATGTACTGACAGTACAGCGTTTGGTCCAACACTATCACTGTCATTTTTGGCTTGTTCATGTTAATAGTCACATTGAGTTTGATGCCAGAGTGATGGTAACGCTGCCAGTAGCGCCTTTGCGACGGCCATCCTTTGTTCACTATATATTGCATCGTCATGACCAAACGTGCGATCCTTCACATCGTTTTGAAAGTCGTCCCAAAGCTTTTGTGACCTTCCTCCAATATTTGCATTTCCAACAAACCTCTTGGACATGAACAAGCACATCTCTGATGAGGCTGTACCCCAAAATCCAACCCCTTGGCATTTGCCCAGGGTTTCTCGTATTGGCATTACTATATAGTGCTGCAAACCACCCCAAGACACAGCGGCGATTCCAAACGATGACCGATACGTGACTGCAAGCTCGTTACATGGAGCCACCGCTGCCCAATCTAACACTGCGTCAACCATTCCGCCACCTGAATATTTGGCAGAGCTGGATGCCGTCCAATTTACTGGAGCATGTATTATACGATCGCCCAAGTATCGCCGAAAACCTTCACGTACAGACGGATCATCTGTGGCGATATCAAACCGAATAGCCTACTTCATTCTACCGGACATGGCAGCCAGTTGCTGGGCTTCTGAAGAATACATCTGTATAGTACCGACAGTTGACGGTCGTGTATGGACACAAGGGTGAATTCCCACATTAAATTTACCAAAAATGCTGGCTTTACATTCTTCAAGACGAGATTCTAGTACCTTTTGAGGACTTAAACCTTTTTCAAAACGTGATAGGCAATCTGGCCGTCTGGGAACAGTCTTTCCAACGTCTCTCTATAATGCGGGTTGGCTTGCAGCAGTGGGACCCAGTAATCGAACCCCACTATTTCCCACACTGGTTGTTGATAGTATATGTGTAGTTTCTCGGTAGCACATACTGAAAACAAATCGTAATCGTAGTTTCTCAAGACAGAGACTAGTTCTTTGGGCAGGGATTCGTGATGGGCCATGTCTGGAATGAATTGGAATGTTTCGTTGTGCACGGGATAGTCCTAAAGCCCCTGTGACGAGATGAGCAAATTGGCGGAGCGTTTTGGTGCAGTAACTCCAAAGTTGCTTGTCATCAGTACGTAGCGTCCCGTGACGATGGAGAAGACAAATCCGTTCACGATCATCGAGATACGATTGCCAAGCCCCTTATCCATAGATACGAGATACGTGAACAATATCCAGCTATGCTTTACAGGACTTTGGAGCGCCATTTGATGCCTGTGTAGATATGAATCAAATTCACAGTCGAATGCTGCGAGCATATTGCAAAGTATTGTAAGTATGGGGTGTAGAAGTTCACGAATACAAACTTGCCATCATTTGCATTGTAGTCTGATAGGACGGCAGTAGCTTCGTTGTCCACAATACCAGTACAAACAGACTGATGCGGCGAGTAGCCAGACCACAACAAGACAAACTAGGCAAATGACGCTATGCCGAAGACCAAACGTAGCCTAACGTCAGCATAATTTGACCAAAAAATGAAAACAATTTGTCGAAATCGACAACTTGTTTTCTCATGATTTGGCAAATGCGTTCTTAGTGTTTCAAACATAGCAGCAGTAAGTAACAGTAGTACCATATGTGGCCTTGTGGAGAACATTTGAAACGTTTATGTTTAATATGGTGATCTTGAAGCGTTGTCTAACTAAACTAGCAAATGTGAATCTTGTTAATGTAATACCTCGCTTTTCACTTTTCATGGTTTCCATTACCATGAGCCTCAACAAGCCAGACGTTTGTGATTTTGCAAGGAAGTCGTATATACGACAAGATACCACCTGCTATCAATACAACTACCTGAGGATACAGCACCAACACCAACAAGCCCGAGAACCCAGTTCCTGGCATCAACCTCGTTTTGACGCAGCAAGACTTTCCAAGAACTTGATCCCCCGCGATGAGGTCTCTGACGGTTCTTTCCGATGCTAGCATACTAGGAAATGCTTCTCTCATTCTGTAAGTGACCGTTGGTTCCTGCGTCGAGCTACGAAGCTCAACATCACACCCTTTAGCAAGAAGTTGGGAAGCAAGAACTTTGGAATCCATCTCTTGGTTCTTGCTTGGACTGCTATGATACTCCTTATGACTACGAGTTCACTGCCTCGCCACCACTCAGAAAGAGAGGTGTTGGAGTCTCCTAATTCTACTGATTCTGAAATCCACCTGCAAACGCCAACTAATCCTGAAATCCACGTGCAAAAGCCAACAAGTGCTGACCTAGTTTTTGACGAAGTCTTTGAGAATTACAAGGCAAGACGCTCTCCTTGCATATTCCTGCCATTTGGAGCGGATTGAGAACAAAGAACAGACCTGACTCAGTTTGTTTAGAAACGTCATGAATTTGTTCTGCAAAATACCAATACAATCGACGGTCCGTACATATATGCAACGTTCAGTCCTACAGCCGGCCTGGGAAATCGTTTTCCGAATATAGTCAATGGGCTGGTTTTGGCGCTACTCACAAATCGAACTCTCTTCCTGGTAAGTTTCCTCATTCCGACTGACATGTAACACATCCCAACATTTTACTATTGAAAGGACCTTCCAGATGTCATGACATCCGTGTGGAGCTTTGGTCTGGATTTTAGGATCGGAAATCGGACATGGCCAACTGATCCAGTTCGAATCATGATCGATGGAAATCATGGCCTGTTCTCAGTCGCTGTAACGGAGGACTTGTCCGAATATTATGATGATCCAAAGGTAATCTTGTCCTGCTGAACAAACGAAACAACTACTTACCAAAAACGTCTGATTAGAAAGGAGGCGTTAGAACTTGGGATATCAGTGGAATAGACTACTTTTTACCATTCTGGCAGGCCAATCCGAATTATCGTCAAAGGCTCGAGGACATGTTTCCTGATGGTCGGGTTGCTTACCACGTATGCCTTTGCAGTGACAATTTAGGCGCTCTTCAACCTGAACAGGTTTTAATCCCTTATTGACGTTAGGTCTTGCGAAAAACTGTGTCTCTGAACACTGAACTACAAGGTTTCCTATCAAACTTTACGGCGACTCGTTTTCGGCCTTATATGGTTGGAATTCACGTCAGATCCCGAAAATTAAATGATATCGCATCCATGAGAACATATGCTATGATAGCTCGAGAGCTCGGAACTGCGTCAGGTGTCGCCCCAACTGATGTTGGCTTCTATCTGGCCACTGATAATCAAACCACGAAGGAAGAGTTAAAGAATTGGCTGGGGCAACGAGCGACTTACCTACCAGTAAACTTTAGCAATAAGAATAGCGCCAACAATCCTGGTGGATCAGATGAAGATGCTGCACTGGACTTCATGAGTTTGGCTTCTTGTGACGTGGCAGTCACCACCTTCGCCTCCAGTTTTGGTCAATGGGCGGCTGCAATGAAGGGCACTCCTTACGTGACAATAGGTCTAGGACTCAAGGATTACGATGATCCGAGAAGAACCACATTTTGGCACAGCATCAGAGCAGAGCCGTGCTGCTTCAATGTCAAAGGATTTGTAGGGAATCCTGAAGCTGGATCTTATGATATAGCTGCAGTAGAGGCTGAGTACAGAATCGCTCTTGCCAACGGCGATCTCAAAGCAATCGACGATAAGCGGAAGCATCGGGCAGTTTCCTTGTTACTGGCGTCGAAATCATTCTACCATCACTCGCAATGTCACCCATAGAAACGGATTATGTAAATTCCTTTGTATTTGTACACCAGCTAATTATTAAAACAGAACACCACTCGTTTTTGGGACAAATGGACTCAAGCACAGTCAATGGTACCTTGTTTCAAATTTTGAGTGTATGTGAGTCGTTACTGCCAGTTCTTCAAACTTTAGGTGTTCAGATCTGCCGGAATATCCATCTATTCATGTTAAAGCCCTCTACATCCTGCAGCGTGATCGGCCCGCTGCCTCTTCAGTACACATCACTGACTGGTTTACTTTAAAAATCGAAAGCAGTTCAATATATGAGCCAATATCTCTGTGTATCAAGCGCTGATGAGATTGTTGGAATTTACATTTTACTCTGACTCATTGGAAAAAACAATCCAAAAAGCCCACCTTGCTCCATAAGCTCCCCGCAGAGGTCCAACGCCGGTGATGGAGGATTTTCTAAGCATCCAGCTGTTGTATTTCTCTTTCTCGTTACTGTTTTGACGTGCTAGGACTTAGTAAACTACTTAGTAAACCACCAGCCAAAGTAACTATGATTCCTCATCAGCCACCAAGAAAATCGTTTGAGATTACATCCATGCTCTTTTGTTAAGCATCTGCAACATCTGCTTACTTACCAAGACCGTTCAATCTGGCAATCACATATCCAAATATTCATACAGGCAGCAATACGCTCAGCACTTGTCTGACATTCCCAGCAATACTCATACTTACAGCCGATTTTCTTCTTTTCGGCCACGAAACTCGCAATATTCAAGGCGAATGCGAGCAGAGCGTTGAAGATAGGAGCAAAGAATAATGACTTCAGTGACAACCCACTCGATTCTCCACCTCATATTGCAGCGTATATGTCTTTTCGACAGAATCTCTGGCAAATGCAGTCTATACCCAGTAGCTTCTCCTGTCAACAAATCATGGGTACTGATTTGCATGAATACCAATGTGGACATGCTGCATCAGAGCTCTATTGGTTGAATATTGAGACGTCCTGCTACTAGCAAGGTGTTTGTGATTAGACCTTTCCAAGCGATATTTGGAGTACGCAAGAGGGTACATAAGAGCAGAGTTTGGTATTCTCGTCTATTGGTCATTGAAGTAAGGTTCAAGACCTGGAATACGTGAATCAGGAGTGCTGAACTGATAGCTGAAGCGAGAGCTGTTATGATCCACGAAAAGTTGAGTCTGAACGACTGCATTTTGATCTTGGAGTCTAAACAAGCAAATGAGAAAGCTGGTGAGAAAGTTCGCAGACAATGAAGGGTGAATTCGGGTAGACTTCGGGAACTGCACATACACAAAGTCACCGTGAGATACAAAATGAGTAAATGAGCATAGTTGGCAATCATGAGTTCTGATACATAGTTCCAAGCGGAACCTTCCTGCGAAGATGCTACTAGGCCTTGCACAATATCTAGTCTCGTCCTCTTTGTCGCTCGTTTCGTCAGAAGCTCGAGTTGGTGATAGCAACGTAGAAGGATACGGCTCTACAGCTACAGACAGCATCAGGAAATACTCAGTTGGGAGGCTTTCTTGCAAATTCTTTCGTCTTGATGCCTCTCATTTGTTGAACCTCTTGAACGAGTAGAAGCTTTAAAGGCTCAGTAAAAGCACACCAAGGGAAAGTTAGTTCATTTCAAAAAACGCGTCGTTCACTAAAGGGGAACATAAGATTTCTGAACAGCTGTTGCGTTATCGATGCGATGCAGTTTTATTATAGTGCAGTTGGTTCGTTGTGCAATTTGTGGCCCTTTACTTGTTGTTACCAATTCAAAGCCTCAATATTTTTAGGAACTATTCACAGGATCGGACGACAGCAATAAAAGGAGTTCTGCTGCAATTGATACTGTCACAAGAGGAGATATTTGGTACTTAGCTCGCCCCTCTCTTCTGTTTGAATCAGCGATGACGAACGAAATCACTTTCTTCTAGAGGGCCTCAAGTCTATATCTAAGGCCTGCCACCAAAAGCAACCGCAACTACAACTACTCAAGTTATAACCCTGTGGAATAGAAAGAACCCTGACTTGTGTTTATAGGCTAGTAAGTAGTATGGGATGAAGAACTGCCAGTTTTGTACGCCTTCCTCACACAACACTTTCGAGCAAATAGCAATTTAATGCCTCTCAAGGTATCAACCTTGGGGACGGTCTCAGCCACATCATGGATATTGATTCTGACTGCCTTCTTTTGTGGAATGTTAATGTCGCTGCCATCCTTGTCGCTTAATCCAAAGGACAAATGTGTGAGTTGTCCTCACCTCGAAGACACTGGAAGTACGAAGGAAATTGCCATCAAGTGGCGACGAATTGCCGGAGAAGTATCTTGCATCCATGGCGGAGTTGGACCTACGGGAGGCTGGTGTCTGAACGAAACAGTGGTAGGAAAGGAACATGTGCCAGCCTGTGTCGCAGTGTCGAAGGCGATCGTCAAGTATTTAGGTGATGCAAAGCCTCTGACTCTTTTAGACATTGGAGCTGGTGTAGGTCAATACGGCAAATGGTTTGAATCGAATAATGCAACCAATATTATGTGGAGGGGTTATGATGGTGCTGAAAACGTAGAGACCTTTACTAAGGGATATGTAAAATGGATTGATGTAACTGATGCTTTGTTTGATACTATTGACATAAGGGCGGATTGGGTCATGTCTCTTGAGGTTGCTGAACTCATCCCACCAGAAGCGACGACCCAATTCCTCACCATGCTTGATAAACATAATCGAGAGGGCATTATATTGAGTTGGGCGGTACCAGATGAGGAAGGATTTAATCACATCAACACAAAGACAAATGAAGACGTCTTCAACATGCTGGCTGCTCTAGGATATATTCAAAACGAATGGACACAGGAGTTTGAGAAGGACGTGAGAGGTGCTACGAGATACCCTTGGTTTAAGAACACTTTTATGGTCTTTTTAAGGGCAAAGCCGATTCGTGACTAGTATATGGTATAGCATTGTAAGCCCCGTTCAACAAAGAAACCAGAAGTATCTATCCGTGCAACCTTGTGGTTAACCGGGTTTTATTGAAATGCGAGGCCATCTCCGGTCCCATATACACTTGTACTCACAGTATTCACATCGGTAAAGGCTTCGTCTCCGATATTCTCCCTCCCAGCATAGCTTTCGACGACGCACTTTGTAGCATCAAGAACAATAACATTACCAGCATCCACGTCAAATCGGATACCGCGGCACGATGTACAAGAGTGCCTTTGGATATGTTCCTCATATATCTTGTCGTTATTGCCTTAGGACTCGAGCATGATGCTTGTCTGCAATTTGTAAACGTAGCGCCTAGAGCAGTTGTATAAATCTGTTGTTGAGATATAATTAATTACTCCACTTTCCTTTCATTGTCAGGTTCCAAATGTCATAGATACCTCCAGCGTGGGCTCCCTCGACGCACTCTACTAACACCACCACGGAGAAATCAAACTTCCAAAGCTTGGCTAAACGGACTCGTATGGATATACAGCTCTACCATACAAGTGGAGGCAAACGTGAAGTGGATGTCATGATACCTTTTCCAATTGGCACTTAATCGGGATATGGAAGTTATCATCAAAAAAGAAGTTCCTCAAAGACGGATTCAAGGGCAAAGAACCCATAGGGGGGGGGGGGGGGGGGTAAAGAGCAATAGGTGATGACTGGATGTTTGACGAAGGTCGGGTAGAAGGTCGGGAACTAGGTCATGGAACCAACCAGTACCTCACAAGCCTTTGTACGGAAGGGCAACATATTCTTACTGCAAGAGCCCGCAAACTTCGCAAATCCTCTCTCCATCCATAATGCCAGTTATCTTGTTTTGGCATACATTCTGCGGGTGTAAATGTCGGTATTATGATGTCAGACGGTCGGGGCCTTTAAGTAGTTATAAGCATAAACTGGGCGAAAGTAGCCAATATTCTAGATTCAAACCAACAGTGCATTGGGGGGGGGGGGAACTCTCGATCGAATTACGGAATTCAGGTGGGTTTACCTGAGTTGTCATGTCTCCTGTGTGTCACGGCACCATTTGCATGAGAGTAGATCATGACGTGATGTTCTTTGACCATTCAAACAGCCTTTACTCTGCCCTCATTTTCAGAGAGGCAGTTGACAGCACTTCGTACTAGGGCAGTTGGTTGTCTATTCCTTCCCAACCCAGCGTGAACAAGTAGCATGATGAGTACACATGGGCTTAAAGAAAAGCTTTGCTCTACTGGGGTCTAGTGTTCTATATGGCAACCTCAGTCTATAGGGTGGACAGTTAAGGAAACGGGCCTTTCGACTGACACATTGCAAGGTCACATTCATGGAAATAGATCTCAATTGCCCGCTAATTCAAAAAAGAGATTAAGGACAAGTGCTCAAAAGTACGTGAGACTCAGGACTTACATGGAATTCGCGACGGTCCTTCATTAGATTTCGTCCATCAGCCTCGTACAATTCTCTTCCGGATTTTGCTGGATCCATATCGTACACACATCTAAACCAGTATAAATTAGTGTTTATGGGGTCTTACTTGCTTGAGTTTACCCCTTGAATTTTGAATAAGTCATTGAGATTTTGTTGTCGCTATGGGCGTCCAAGGCGTTGTACTTTATGTCGTCGTTCATCAGCTAATGTAACGCAGGTAAAATTGACACGTTGCCCAGATACAAATATTCAGATACACTGTGGCGTATAGAGCATCGTTTGTTGTCAGAGCTCCGGTACACGGTTTTTTGCGTCTGTTGGAGCCCACGCCAAACACCTATGCGTATGGACTGTGAGCAGGAGCAGGTGAAAGCGTTAGCCAAATTGCAAGATGAATTGATTTTTACCGTTCCAACAATGGATAGAGAAAGACGAGAAACCAAGTTTCAACGAAGAGTACACCAACAAATTGTCATTGTATGATTCCCTGGGTATCTTTTGAGCATACGAAGTGTCCGACCTGCTAAGGCCTTTGTAGATTTCACAAGAGCATCGCTCGTCATCGTTTTCGTCAAGGCAGAGCTCTTCTTTCTATGTTGAAGCGTTGCACCAATTGCACGACTCAGCTTTGGATTCAGCAGACTGTTTTTGGAGTTATAGTCTGGAGCAACATAAATACTATGGTGTGATTCGAAACAATTCTTACATCTCCCCAAATGTGATGTGTTACTATGATGGTACAAGTACCGATAATTTATGGTGCGACTATTTATGGTGCGACTTTCTTTGATTCCAACTTCTCAAAATATTTTCTGCCAAAATTTCGATACATCTCCAGCACATGAGACTGATTCATGGCGTCTTTGCCTTCTCTTTGCGGCCCAAAAGCCATATGTGCGGTCAAGAAGGACATGTCGATGTAGCCTTGCCTAAATGGTGTGTTTAGTATCGTGATATTTGTGGACAGATTCCAAACCATGGCGCAGTTGAGCAATCCGTAAAAAGAGATCATGACAGATCATTACAACAGTGATTGCTTCGAACCTCACCTTTTCAATTCAACCGTCTTGAGTACAGTCAAAACATGCTCATCGTCCTTTCCTAAATCCTTGATCAGTGGCAGATCCTTGGCTAAAAATGCCAAGAAGTTGATGCTCAGCCTATCTCCCAATTTATGATAGATGACACCAGTCTGTCTGATCCACTCAGACATGTCAGCTATATGGCCTACGAAATGTTCGTGCAGCTGTTCAGCGATAGTTCCATTCGTAACCAGTTTCCCAAAATAGGAGTCGTATGGCAGCGCTATAGGATGCATCTTATATAACCCCTGATAGTATGCGGTCACTCCATTATTGATCACGTTGGGCGACCCCCAAAGAGCATGTGGATTATTTCTTCTAAATGCAATGAAACTCGGAAAAGCTTCTATGTCAATAAATAAAGTGTCATCGTCTAGCTTGATGTAGACATCGTCGTCATTTGTGCCGTTCAATTCCCCGTAATACTGATAATAATCTTCCCAGGCCTTTTCCCGTTTGTTTGTGTTCATAACGGTATATTTCGGTTTGGCAACAAACTGTTGCAGATATTGAGCGTCTTCAGGAACAGCAGTGAAATCCCAGAGATGGACCTCGTCAACAAAGGACCTTTCGACAAGTGCATCGACATATTGAAGCATTATATCCATATACTGACGTCTCCCTGCAAAACAGGTGATAACTGTTTTTGATGAATTCACAGCGAGCTCAATGTTAAGGAGTCCACCTGTTTTATTTGGCCAGTCGTAGGCACTGGCATTCTGATCTAAATTTCCACCTATTGGAAGATCATACAGTGCCCCAGATAGCCCGCTGACAGCAACGAGACATACGAATGCTATACATATCCTTTTCATGTCGAGATTTGGTTCTTTGTACCAGACGAGGCCAATGAGAGCGATGCCATAACCAAATATCTGCGATACAGAGATGTTAGTAGCCCATAAGAGTACCGAAGCAACAATTAAGATTATATCCTTCAAAACTCCAGACAGGGTCATTACTACGGAAGACGTCTTTCCGATCTTTGAAAACAGAAAAGTTTAGAATTGTTGCCCAGACTTCACAATACAGAAGCGGATCATACCAAGAATACTACGGCAATGTTGAGACCAAACGCAATTAAACAGTTTAAGAGGAGGACTTGAAGGCCAACCGCATTTACGTGATCCCATCTGAGAGATTTGGACTCCAATACTAAAAAGGCGGCAAAGTTTGTAACAGCACATACCTACAGAATATCAATGCTCGTTAACAGAACAGTCGACATTGCTGTTTCAGGCCCGACTGTTCACTTACAGGCGCAAAGCAGTGTAAAGAAACCAATGGGCCCATTTTGTAACAGGAAAGCAGCTTCTGGATCATGACCAGCCTACTGGCTTCCGACAGAATTCCCACGGCTTGAAACACGAAGCCAATGAAGACAAACTCGAATTCTCCATACGACGCAATTATGACACCCACAACAATAGACATAACTTTGCCGAGCACGACCATGTCCGGTTGTTCGGTTTGAAAGGCATATCCAATCACCAAAACAAACACCGGAGTGGTGGCCTGTGTTTGATAAGAAGGGACTGTTGGCGTTTCGTTTAAAGCAAGAGTGCAACCAAATTAGGTAGAAATACCTTCAGCATCTGAATATAAGCAACAGTCAAATACAGATACGCCATATTAGAAGCCATCAGACTGATTGAGAAGAGTACACCAATGGGCAGGATGGCTCGTAAAAAGATTTCCCGAGTCATTTGGACCTTTTGCAAATCCTTCATCATATTTGTATATCTATGCAGAAGACGAGTTCCGATAGTAGCAAACACCATATGACACGTTGTCAGAAATATTGGGAAAGCTACAAGAGTTGAGAAAAGTATTAGAGTGGTGGGTAAAAAAGAGTGGTGGTTGGGTTCAACACTCGATTTCTTCAGGAGATGGAACTGGTACGTTCCGACATGTTAGAATGACGTCTGCCATAGTGAACATACTTACGAAACTTGAGTTCGTACAAAATGTACTTGTTGAATAGGATGACAGCCGAGGACATGCCAATCCAAACCGCGATGTAAAACGCTGGGGGCATATTCGAAGAGTTGACATTCGAGATCAATGCCGATGGTATTTTGTTGGTTACTGCCTCATCTTCCCCTTCTACCATCAACAGTTCCAGTTGTTCATCATTCTTTGTTTCAGCCATTCTTTGCCGCAAAAGTGCCCTGTGAAGTACAGTAACGAGATACGTATCGTATGGGGATAGGATTACTTGGGCCCTAATTTCACAGAGCAAATAGCCTGACACAACTTTATCAGTTGGGGTTGAGCATTTCCCCTACACTTCCTTTATCTTGTCTTTTGCTGAGGCTCTGAGGCTCGAGGTTTCGAGTACTACTTGTGACCAGTTGAGCTTATTGTATAAGTAGTAGTCGGAAGCAAAATCAAATTTGGAAACATAATAGTTAGTGTTTGATTAGAAAAATCCCAAACATAAACCTTCCATAAAGGTGACTGAGATTAATGTTGCTGCTCTCGAGACATCATTCGCTTTGGGAGCAAAGAGACTAGACAGTAGTGGCTGCTATGAAAGTCAGTCAAGTGATTTCTTTTTAATCCCACATTGGTTGAGGTGGCTTGCATACTCACCTCAAGACATCCTCAGTCTCAAAGAAGGAAGAGGATGTAACGCAAGAGAAGAATTCATTCAGAGAAGCATTCATCGCGAGATACAGGTAATGTACTTATCATCATAATGAATGCATCCATTCCTTGGCGACAGAGACGTCCATGGATATCTGCATGTTCCTCTTACCTATGCCACTTCTTCTCTTATCGATGAATCCACTCGTCGTTTCAATCCGTTCAATCCATGCTATGAATGGGTTCATCAGTTCAATATATGCTAAGTGAATCCATACGCGTTGTGCGACGAAGTCTGAGGTCAGCTTTGAAGCTGCCAAGTAGTATTACGACTAGTTAGTAGAATGTACATTCAGTTGAATCCCTTATATTTGTTAGTTTTGTTCAATGAAGTTCAAAAATCAGCGACTATCGATCCAACTCAGACGTTTAGCAATCGTTTAATGGAAGACTACAACGACAACCAGCTTTCAGCTGCAGACACTACTACCGATGAGCAAGACAAGATACAGCGTGAAAAAGAGGCCGCAGAACAAGCTGGTGCGTTTGAATGGTCCAAGGTTTCCGGTTTGAAAGAAATTCAAGGTAAAGCTTGGCTAAACAACTCGTATTGACATATAGCTCTACCATACAAATGGAGGCAAACATTAAGTGAAGTGGATGTCATGATACCTGTTCCAAAAGGCACCAAAAGTCGGGATCTGGACGTTGTCATCAAAAAGAAGCTGCTCAAAGTGGGATTCAAAGGCAAAGAACCCATCGTAGAGGTATATAACTCTAGAAACCTGAATCATTTAATGATGATTTTATGATGATTTTCCGAACATTCTGTGCTGAGAGCTCGTGTCTACTAGGGAGAACTGTGTCAAAATGTGAAAGTGGACGATTCAACTTGGACTTTGGGTACATTAAGCATTCCAGTTGTCTACAAATCAAATACGCAAGGCTCGATTAATTTCCTTATAGATAATCAACAGGAAGTCAACATTCATTTGGAAAAAGTCAATGGAATGGAATGGTGGAAGAATGTGGTGACGCACCATCCAGCTATAGACACCACCAAAATCCAACCAGAGAACTCGAAATTGAGTGACTTGGATGGTGAAACTCGATCCGTTGTGGAGAAAATGATGGTGAGTGTCCTAAGTCGTGCAATTTCAGTACTCGCATCTTACAACTGCTGTCCTTTCTCAGTTTGATCAGAAGCAAAAGAGTATGGGATTGCCAAGCAGCGATGAACAAAAGAAGCAAGAATTGCTAAACAAGTTCAAAGCATCACATCCAGAAATGGATTTCAGTAATGTCAAGATGGGTTGAGGGCTTTTTGTCTCGAACGTTATGGTGAGTATGTCCCCTTGTCCAATCTGTTCTACCTAGCTCTACCCTACTAACTGATTCCTTCCCCTGCTTTAGTCTGATCAAACACAAATGACCATAATGAATTTGCACATAATAAAGACCAAATTTCAGAATTGAAAATATTTTTGATGGCAACAAGCTACTACACTATGATTACTGGGTAATGAAATGCAAAGTAGGACTCTAGACTATGCGACAACCCCTCTATTCCTTACGAGTGATTTTGATTCCCTTCTTCTTCAATCGGCGTTCTTCAGCGGCCCTTATATAAGCTGCATCCTCATCTTCATCGAATGTAATCTCAGGTTGCTCTTCAGCGGCGGGTTGCTTTTTACTCTTCTTACTTTTTGATTTTCCAGTAGAGGCTGGGGCAATAGCAGTTGATTCTTCGTCGTCCTCTTTGCCATCCGTTGACGGTATCTTGTTGGACAGCTTCTTGAATTTCGCAACGTAAAAGCCATCCATGTTGTGCACGTGTGGGTAGAAGCGTCGTGTGAGATTGAGAGTTTGGTGGAAGGACTTGCCACGGTAGCTACAGTTGTAATGAGTAAGTTCGTGGTTCTAGTGTAGTTTAGTTGACAAGCTGCTTTACCTCGTGTAGCCCTCACGTCCGAATTCAAGACCAGCTGGCACCAATTTGACATTCGGTCTCTTCTTTAGAGCGTAATTGACCACCTCTTCATTTTCTTCTACAGTCACCGAACATGTAGAGTAGACTACATATCCTCCACTTTTGGAGAGGGCATCTGCAGAATCAATAGCTGCCAAGATCAATTCCTTTTGAATGTGCGACAATAGAGAAAAGTCCTTGTCCGACTATAAGTTGAAAGAAGCGTCGATGTAAGCGCCGCTGGTCGAGGATATCTCAAATAAATACATAGCCAATTACCTTATTCACTTTTACAGACGGATCCTTAGATATAACACCGGTGCCTGAACATGGAGCATCCAACAATACACGATCGAATCCACCGATCACCGATGGAAATTCTCTACCATCATGGTTACATACTACAGCATTCTTGACGCCCATACGATGGATGTTGGCCATGAGACCTTTGCAACGCTCTTTGTTTGCGTCATTGGCAAACACGCATCCGGTGTTTTGCAACAGAGATGCTGTTAAGAACATCTGTTAGGACTATACCTGAACGTTTAAAAATCAATAACTTTACCTATATATGTAGTTTTACCCCCAGGAGCAGCAGCCATATCCAAAACACGCTCATTTGGTTGTGGGGCAAGAGCCATGACGGGCAAAAATGATGAAGCGGCTTGTAACATATAATGGCCAGCCAGATACTCGGGAGTCGCACCAATTGGAACTGGAGCGTCAAACACTTGAAGGCCTACTTTGGTCCATTTGCCCACGGCTTCCAAGTTTACACCTCGATTGATCAAGGCTTGAGCTAATTCCTTCCTTCTGGTTTTCAGAGTGTTTGCTCTGATGACTACCGGTCTTGCTACTTCATTGGCTTCAAAGAATTCAATAGCCTGTTGTGATATTTGGGATAGGAGTGAGGATGAGCGAGTTCACCGCACACAGCTCTGAGACATACTTCGGTAACAGGGAATAGATGGAAGAGCTTATCCATCATATAATCGTTGTACCCATAGTACGCAGCGAGATCATGTAGAAGCTGTGATACATATTCTGATCTGGATCTGAGGATATGAGGGAAACAGTCAGCATGCGTCTCTGGCGAAACAGGCTTCTGAATCAAGGATTATTTTTATATTATTCACCTTCTGGGATCTTTGAGTTCCTTCCAGTTCGAGAGAATACGCACAATCTCTCTCATCCTAGTAGAAACAACATTCAAGTCCTCAGCAGACTTGACGACTCCACCAATAGCATCCTCATCTTCATCTCCACTACCACTATCCGCCATGATGACTTCAGGCAATACAAATTGCTCTGAATCGGCTATATTCGTCTTAAACTCTTCCTCTGCCATCTTGGCACTCTTTTTAGCGCGAGCATCTAATTTACGAGATTGGACTTCAATGTCTTGATCTTCGTCATCATCGTCCTCATCATCATTATCGTCACTATCAATCTTGATATCTTCGTCTAGATCAGCTTCTACATCTGACATGTCTTCCAAATCAAATGATTTCGATTTTACGACGGTGCTATCATCTTGGAATTCGTCATCGTCCATGTCTCCCATGGTATCTTCTAGAGTTTCTAGAGCTTGTAGATCTTGCATCTCCTCGTCGTCATCACCGCTGCCCATAGCTAAAAGATCAGCAGCTCCAGCTTTCGCCTGATATATGTCTTCGTCGTCAGCACCATCTTCCGAGTCAGAACCGTGCTGTTGGATCTTGCTAATCTTCTTTATAGATACCGTTGACTTCTTTGCATCGACTCTGTGGAGGGTTAATAAGTGTAGGTCAGCAGTTTTCGTTTGCTTCAAATGTTGAAAAAAAAAGTTGCTGTTTTTTACCTGGCCTTCTTGACGGGTCGATTGAGGACTTGAATACCATTTTCCTGTTGATCGTCATCATCAGAGTCCATTTTATCCTCCTCTGGTCTTCTTTTACGAGAATCTTGATATGGCTCTCTGTTTTTATGTTTCTCGTCTCGTCTGTTTTTGGCGTTTGGTTTCTTCTTGTTATTGTTGAATTTAGATTTAGAATTGCTTGTGCCGTCATTGTATGCAGATGGTGGCCCTTGCTGCTTCTTGGCCTGCCTTCCTCGATTACCCATTGCTGAAGTTTTTTGTTTTGAACTACTGAGGATGTGCCTTCGTAACAATAATGTTTTGAATGTACACAACGAAATGCTTTGGATCGAGTTCAATCAGCGCACTCTGGATTTCAAACTGTATAAATTGCGTCCACTAACTGCTTCTGTCAGCCGAAGGACGATGTAAAAAAGGTACTGCCAAAAAACGCGAAGTTTTGTTATTTACTACGAAACAATTCTACTCTATACATCCAAGCCAATGACTTTATACCCGACCATCAGTCTATCAAGTTTCCTAGTCAGCTGGCCTGAACTCAACAACATTGGATTCAGCTTCTTGTCTCGACTCATAGCTTCATAGTCCGTGTTGTATTGCGCTACTAGGTCTCGTAGCATGTAGTATTCCTGTTCTGAAGCATGGCGTTTAGATTTACGTGATGGTTCAAGAGTTGTTAGTTTCTCTATTAGTGTTGGTTGAGCTCTAACTATGGGTTTGACTGGAGTATTCTGACGAAGAGACGGTTTAGATCCAATAGCTACAGCTCTTGGATCGACAGCGTTTGGCTCATCTACAATATCCATGCCTTCAAATGATGTTTGGTTCTCATTGTCGGTGTCGTCTTCTTCGTCTGAATCCTCTTCAGCATCATCAGTACTAGATCTACTTGCTGCTGGTGCATCTATATATCCATATTCGACTGTCACCTTTGGCTGCTGATCATCATCACCACCAGCATCACGAGTTTGATGTTGAAGTTTACTCGACTTTTCTATAAAGGATTCTTGACCACCAGCGGTACCATCCAATGTAGCAATGAGTCCGAGTCGAGTATAGTTCTGTCTTAGAGTTAGTTTCTTATCCCAGTGCTCTATGATCAAAGGATGTGTTGCTCCAAAGTCGACACGTTTGGGATGCTTCCTTCTGGTTGTTTTAGCAGCGACATTCTTGACTCGTCTACGTTGACGTGGTGTCTTTCCCATAGCGTTCTTGTATTATAGAGTAGATCGTACGATCTGTTCACTCGATTGCTCAAATGTTTCCAGATGTTGAAAAAAAAAATTCAGCATGACAAGATCAACCAGCAAGGAAGCGATTAAAGATTTGAATAAACTCATTCCGCTCATAGGACACGGTACGTCATAGCTTCATCAACGAGAAGACGCGTTTTATATTTGCGGTTGTAAGCTCACTACATTTCCAATTTAGATGATAAGAAGGCACAATTGGACGAGATCTTGGTTTCAAAACCGATTCAATTCACCCATAATCTACAATCTAAACATCATCTGACTTCGAACGAACGTGGAATTCTATGTCTGTTGGAAGCGTTAAATGACATTCACCAAAGTGCTGATGGTGAGGTATATGAACGTTTAGAGTCAAGAACAATGTCTAAACACGTAGCTTTCTAGCATCTGGAGATGATTTGGGTCTAAGAGATCGTAACACTATACTCCAAGCTGTTCAACTGTGTGTAGAATTCGGATTGTCCTCAGGTCTGACTTCAGCTTCGCAGTCAAGACCTATATCGTCCTAACATTTCGGGCAGTAGATCCATCGCAAGAACTAGAAAGCAGATCTCTGACCGTGCTGACTCAGTGGACCATGTGTAGTCCAGAAACATTAGTCGCTCATACTGTAATTCAGCACCATTTGAGTACGCTCTACGCGTCATATCTGAAGATGATGGTGACGCATCCTAATCTCAACATTGACAAATTTGAGAGCCTGTTTGAGACGTAAATCACGTTTCAGTTTGCTTCACAAAACTTCACTGTCAACATCCCTTACACATTTAGGCAAACATCTGCACGCTCCATGACTGCCCTTGGAAGCATCATGTCTTCAAATACCAATGCAAATATTCATAAACTAGCAGGACAATACATGTCTAGAGTGTTAATTCGGCCTAATGGAATGAAGACTGTATTTGATTTCCTGTTGGATATTTCTGACGACGATGATGAACCAGCTGAGAATGAAGGTCAGTTCTTGGTCCATGGTTTCACTTCTCCACTAAGCTTATCCGGACTTCTGCTAGATCGGACAGGCATGGGTGAATCACGTCTAGAGTCACTTGCCAAAGTGGTTTTAACGGTACCTTCGCAAATGGAATCGGCAGTGGTAAAACGATGCTTTGCCAGTTGATCTACTCTTATGCACATCTAAATTAATCATATTTTTAAAATCCTAGGCTTACTTCAAATTGATTTGCCCACAACTCATATCGATAGCCACGAGTCAAGTGAAATTCCGTGCCCAAGCTGCATCATATCTTTTGGCTCTCTTATTGGAAAAGCGACCAAAGCTGAGTGAAAAGCTAGTTATGAAACCTATATTGGAGCCTCTTGTGAGATTGAACCACTCCATGTAAGAACAATAAGAAAGGCCAATCGTAAAACATCTCCTTGCTCAGCGATATGTGATAGGCCTCTACTTGATCTTGGATTCGACTTGGATGGACGACATGTGCTTGCAGATGAAGCTAGTATTGAGTTGTGTATCAAGAGGCTACAAAACTTGTTAGCAGCGAGTTCGCTAGTAGCGGGTGACAGAATAATGACGTCGATGTCTCAAGGTTTCCAAGTCCAGTTAGTGCGTTTCCACTCATCAAACTCTCACCTTTTCTCTTCCCTCACCCTTTCCAGCCATTCCGGCCTTGTATTATCTACATCAGTACGTGACCCAAACTCCTCTATCATCTCTTAACAAACCCGTCTTGGAAGTGTTGACTGTCTTCTTCAATGGAGCACCTTCTGAACATTCGCAGTCAGAATTGCATCGTATTGCTTTTGATTTTGCTGATAACGTCAACGCTGTGTTTGCTCCCGGGCCAAGTGCTGGTGTATGGATCGTACAAGACGATGACGGGTGAGATCTCTACAAGTAGATTAACTGCAGTTTTCACCCTTTTCTCATCACCTTCGATGTTGTAGCATCACTTTTGACAAGGATGTCTTTGTACAGCTCCTTCAAAAGATGAATGTTGTTCCAGTTGCGGCAACCTTCTTTTTGAGTTTATTGGAAATGTATACTGGATTAGATGTTGCTGAAGTCGCTGGAGCGAAAAAGTAAATTTTAAACTCTGATGAAATATTCTCTCTTTGGAGCTCACAGAATCTCTCTTCCAAATCACATCGTCAGGACAACAACTCTATTATCACTCATTGCATCAATCATGGACGCATTTCGTGAAGACCTATTATTGAAATCATCAACGTCCAAAACCACTATTTCGGCAAACACGTTACGCTTTGCTAAATCTATGTTGAGTAATACGTCAGATACTGAACTTGTATCAATGGGATTGGCACTCTTGATGTCTTTATTAGCTGGTCAAGGATCGGATGCTATTGTGTTGGATGGCAAGACAGCAGGGGAATTGCTAGTCTTGTTACGAACTGTGTATAATCAACATCCGCTAGACAGCGATCTTGTCACTGACGAGGATGGTGAAACCAAGAAGGAGATACGAAATATGATTACAGAATTGAGATTGCTGATACTGGCAAAACGTGAGATTGATGTTCAAGGTATGTATGACGCTGAAGACCGCTGTGGTCGTACACTCGACCTCACTCCGTATTCACCTTCGTGCCATAGCATCCCTTATGGCTGAATCATCATCTGAGGCAGTATTCGTTGAAGCCATGCAAGAGATTCGTAACGATTTGATTCCACTACGAGCACGAGGCATGAATCTACTCCGGCATTTGATTCTGTCTCGAGATTCCGTAGGAGACATCAAATTCGATATAATTGCTGGTGTCTTTTTGGATTTTTTGAGTCATGATGATAGGTGTGAGAATTGCTTTACGGCATGAGGATATTCGGCCTCGCATTTCGTTTGTGTGTGATCTTGACTTGGAGATTTGTTACTTACATGTGCCTACCAGTTTTTTGTATTTGAATGCTATCAAGGGTATATCTGCTCTTACCGATGTGTACCCAAATCGGTCACTTGTTTTCATGATGAAGCGGTATCAAGCCGAGAACACGTATACCTTGCATTATCGGTTACGTATGGGTGAAGCTATTCTTCAGACTATTCAAAGGATGGGCGATGTGTTTCCGAAATATGGTGGGAATGTGTAAGCTATGGTCAGACGTCTTGTGAACCAATTCTAAGCCTACTTTTTCATTTCTGATTCGCAGGTTCAGAGATTCTTCATGGAATCTTACTAGTCCTACATGACGAGCAAGCTGAAATGCGTAGTTCAGCTATATCACTCATTGGACAAATTGGTGAAACATGCTCATGGGGATTACTCCCCTTCATATATCAGATCTTGGACTATTTCTCTAATGCTCTGAGAATCGAAGCTCGTGTTGAGACACGTCGAGGTAAGCTGTTTGAATTGATGAAGAAAGGAAAAGAACCGATCCAATCTGTTCGCATAGGCGTGGTATTTGCCTTACGAGGTCTCCTTATCGGTGTGGTTCAATCCCGATTCGGCGGTATCGAACTTGACGTATCGCAGCGTGTCCTGAACGAACTGAAACTTGTTTCGCTAAATGACCAAGATGAGCTCACTAAGGGTCATGCATTGCACATCTTGAAGGAAATGAAAGAGTATGGGCCAATATGAAACCTCTATGTATCGTGTGTTGATTAAATATGTGGCACATTCAACGTAATAGCAACCTCTGTACAATCTGCAGCAAATTAATATAGTAATCTTAAAGTGTAGTTTGGGCATCACAGCACCTCGACGTATTCAGCAATATCATCATAAGCAAAGGTCTAAAGAAAGCTGGTGTTGGTGATGGAAATTCTTACGTAAACACAACACTCTCGGCGCCGTTTTACATACCCTGATCTCAAAATCATGCTCTAACTGAACAAGCGCTCGTTCATTCCTCTTATCCTTTTCCAGGATTCGACCAGTCTGTCCAACCAATTCAGTGTCTTCGTTCTTCACCACCAATACAGTCTTGCCAGCTGACGGCACATAAGTTTCCACGTGTCTGTCTACTATATGATCTACTATATCTCCATGTGAAGTCTTGACAATTGCACCTTGACCAGGTATCACGTCTTGCACTGTACAAGACTGATCGAGATGTTTGCCACCTGCGAGTGATTTGCTCACAATTGTCTAGATTGAATAGAATGAGTTAGCACGATGGTGCAAAACAAAGCAGTATACATCATCGAGATGCACCAGACGAATATGTGGCCTCAACCAGCTTTTGAGTGGTAAACTTGAATTTGAGGTTGGTTTAGAAGGTGAAGGTCGATAATCTGAAGCTCCATTAGTAGACTTGGAGTATAGTTTTACTTCATCAAAGTACGCTTTGACGACCTAAAATATTAATAGATGAAGGTAAGCAAAGAAAGGTATATCGAGAAGAGGGAGGACGATGGGCACTTACATCACCATTCTTCAGCTGCACTTTGAATTGTAACCCACCACTCCTCTCCTTTTTCTCTATTATGTAACCAGCAACACCCTTATTCTTTCCAGCCGTTATCACTACTTTATCATCAATCCTGAAATCTAAAGCCACGTCAGCATCCTCATCAGACTCTGCTGATCCCTTCCTTCTAGACAAAGACGGCGGTGGAGGAGTATCAACTGCCTTCTAAAACAGGAATAAAGGGTTTAGAAATGAGTACCAAAACTTATAGATCTAAAGCAATCAATCAGAGCAATCTTACTTCAGGTTTATACTCGTTAGGTTTTGGTATTCTCCTCTTATCCGCCTTGTTTTCTACTATTGGCTGTGGTTTGGCACCTAATCCCAACAAGGCCGGCCGTCTAGCTGATAGTATAGGCGTAACAACTGTCTTGTTTTTACCCAATCCTTCACCTTCCTTCCAGCCCATACCACGCAACATGGCAGCACCTATTTGATCTACAGGTACCTTATCGTATTCGTCGAGAGTGGGTTCATCAGGACGAAGAGCGACATCGTGTCTATACTTGTCTGTCTCGTCCTGTAGGTCGTCCAAGCCCGGCACTGCGTTTTCAGCGAGTATAGGTAGTGAGGTTATGATTTTATTGGAAGTCGTTTCACCACGTGCTTCTGATATTAGAGCAGCGATGGCTCGTTCGTCTTCTGTCATTGGAGTTGCTTCAACGACGCTAGTGTCTAGATTAAGTGTCGATTCTATAGGTTTATCTAAAGCAGGCTTCTTCATGACATTGAGGCCCCATTTAGGTTCTTCGCGAGGTGGGATACTAACAGGGATACCAGCAGGAGTACCATTGTTACAGTTATTACTACTACTAGAGGCCATTGGAATGGGTGTTGGTTGTTGTTCTGTGAAGACTGCTCCAATACCATTCGAGGATGGTGCAGGACTACCTTCACCAGGCAATCTCCACTGATTCTTGACAATCAATGGAATGACTAGAGGCAGCTTGTCTTCCTCCTCTTCGTCACTGGCTTGACTATCATTTCTGATGCCCTTGATGACTCGACCCTCGACCTCATCAATGTATTGAGTGTTTTGGATTCCTCGTTTAGTTCCTCTATGATCATGATCTGCCTCGAATGCGGCTGCAGCTGGTCTCTTTATTACCGGTTTCTGAGATTTGTTCTTCTTTAGCGACAAGAATTGAGTTGATGGAGAACCTCTTCCATTTTGGTCCATTTCTTGGATCTGTAAAGAGGGCTAACGGTTATGAAAATACAGAGAGTCTATTAGGCTCCAAGAATTGCCGTGCTGCGAAAGCTCAAGAGACGACACAGATTCAAGTTTTGGCTTGACCAAGAATTTTTTGCTCGTATTGTGGTCTCAGTTGCTGGCAGTTGCGCCTACAAGAGCGTGATATTACTTGTTCTGGGCGCTTATTTCAAGTTATCTAGAAGTTGGATCGTTGACGCCAACCTTGCACGTCGAACCTATATGGCTGATCAAGCCAAGTCGTTTGACTGACCTAACTGACGTTGACTTTATCAATAACGTCAATATACGTACGAAATCACGTAATGGCCGTGTCAAGGTCCTCAATGGACCAATCAAGAAGGCCGGGTGAAGACATCAACCGTTTTATTGGCAGCATTCAAAGCACACTGACGAACATTCATAAGCACATTACACCGTGGGCGCAATGAAGCCAAAGCCATCTGTAAAGAGGCAACAGAGCAACAGACGAGACCGTATACACTTAAGTAAAATATGATTGTTATATAAAGTTGCTGGTACTATCGGATGGCAACAGAATATCAGATACATGCTTCTAAATGACCACGACGAATGGCGTATACACAACCAAAATAATTACGACTTGCGATTTCCTTGTTTACTCCTGCTTCTCGATAATTCCGAATCGTCTCTCGCTGTTAGACCTGCTGTTGACCCAGTTGGGACTCATCAGCGTCATTTCAGGACTCTGAAACAGGACCTTGTCTACAGCTTCCACACCTAACATGAATGAATGATCCTGGTTGGCTACTTCGTACTTCCATGATCCAAATCGACCTCTAGACAGGATGCTCAGCTTCTCCAGTTCAGGCAAAATTACAGCGAGGTGTTTATCTCGGTCGAGAGATGGCGTAGGGTAGCCATAGTAGAATTTGCGAGAATACGTTGACACGATTTCATCAGTGGGCTATTCCAACAATGAGTTGAGTTTCCTTCAGTCGACAATGACAATCAGACACACCCAGCTTACCAAAAGCAGTCCTGTGTTAAGGCAGCCTTGAATGGTATCCTCCATTAATGTCGGCAGGTCGACCGGTTTTCGCGGTGATTCGGATACTTCCATCATTAAAGACCAGTACGGCCCAGGTCTGCCATTACTATCCGCTACACAACTGGAGTCTTTAGCCAGCCTGAGAGTAGGTAGTTCGAGGGTTTCACTGGGCTGATTATATGGCGAGTAGTTGGAAAATATCGTTGCTCGGTAAAACGGGCTGTCTGCCTCGGGAAAGTAAAGCCAACACTTGTCACCTATGCGTTCAGGTCTACTACCTCGGATTCCAATACCAATAACATGAGTTGAGGAAAACAATAGACCGCTTGACTCTTCAATTACTTTCGGGATTGAAGGAACTAGCATGTTAGCCAACTCGATCAATGGCATGGTGTTGATCAAAGTCTTGTAGGATATCGTGGATCCATCAGTACATAGGACTGTCTTTTGTTGATGGTCGATCTTACTAACGGTTGTCGACAGCCTGAGGTTGGCGGGCGGAAGAGTCTTCCCTACAGCAAGCCAGATACCATGAGTGCCACCGTGTGCAGGAAAGCGAAAGGTAGCATTAGGACCCCAATTTCCTGCAACTTTGTTTAGAACCACATTCGTAACGGCCATCTTGAGATCAGGAGCAGCGACTCTCTCCCCCAACCATTGGCATTGCATCTATCTCAAAAATCATCAGCCATATGTTATGCAGCATTCCCTATCCAGATTAGGACTCACATCTCTGGGTTCGATTGCCCAGACTTTGAAGTTGTAGGGCCTCATGAAGAGATCAGCAATACCTTCACCCATGTTACGAACAATCCATTCATCAAAGTTCTTTGGGGGAATCTTAGTCGATAGAGATACTTCATATGCTTCAATCATTCCAGTCAAAGCTTTGACCTGATCCTCTTTAGGCAACATAGAGATGTTGTTCTAGGTGTGCATGCCATCTGTGTTAGCCCAATGTTAAAGGCACCGTTAAGGTCATTTAGTCACTCACTTGGTAAGGATAAGGAATCCATTTACCCTTAGACTTCACGTACGAGACACGTTCATGTATAAACCAGTCCTTCAGTATGAACGGATTAACACACACACACCAAAATGCACTGAAATTGGAGCTCTTGCCTCGGGCCTTGGCAACGCTTGGTCCAAAACATCGTCAAAATACTTGTAATGGGAAAAGATCTAATAGAAGAAAGAGAAATTGTGTATGAATGGGTGATCAGAAGGATGCGAAACATGGGAGATGGACTCCCAGATCTAGACTCGATAAGGACAGCAAGAATCACAACGAGTAATGACTTCAGCCACTTACAACGTGACCACCAACATCAAATAAGAAGCCCTCCGGAGTTTCATCAGTAGAAGCGAGACCACCCACACTCTCGAAACTGTCCACCATAAGCCATGACTTGTGGTTGAATTGTTGTAATCGTTTAGCGGCGCCTAGTCCCGTAGGACCAGCACCGATAATCAAGATATCTACAGACGTGGCAGTCATGTTTGAGATGCCTCTAAATACTAATATAATAATAGCAACCACCACCTTGATACCGTTCAACTGAGCCTCAGCAGCAAGACAAGAGGCAAAATCTGAAAATTATTGTTGTTCAACCCAAATCTTCACCAGTCTCAGAGGCAATTGCTCTTGCGAAGCAGGGCCGAAGTAATCCTATCTCAATACGGCACATACCTAGTCACTTCACTTTTGTGGCAGCCAAGAGATATGAATGAGAAACTGGAACTATTGATGCTGGAGGTAGAAGATAAGACAGGGAGCAACAAATCACTATCTGTATCGATCTCAAACGCCAACTCTTCGAATGTGCCGCCCGCCTTCTACATCGCTGTTTGGATCGGCATGTCCTCGGCAGTCATTCTATTCAACAAGTACATTTTGTACCAACTCAAGTTTCGTGAGTATATCTACGATGGCGTAACGGTGTAGCTCTTCATTACCGGATACGAATGAATTCAATCTTTGAAGAAATCGAGTGTCAGTTTGCACCTTCGCT